TGAAACATTGTATGTAGAAATATTCAGACTATAGTTCAGCTGAAACTGAAATTGCTGATAAAACAAAGCAAAAAATGCCTTTTGGAGGTGGAACAAGATGGATTTGACAATGGGGAATGAGGGGGCAAAGCCCAGCCAGTTGCACACATGTACAGTGAACTGTCCAAAACGAAAAACTGTTTTTGGGAACTCTTCCAGTTTTAACGGTCTAATTGTTTTTAAATTTAGTTCAAAAATATAATATAACAGAAATATATAAAATTATTATTATTTTCCCTAATTCTAAGTGGTCGAACCCCCTGCTTATAATATTATAACTCGAACCAGTTGAGAATTCTTGCAATTACCACCATGCACTTAAACTTTGCATAATGGTTTTTAGTTTGTAATTGCAATTCCGGGTTCCGCTAACCGAGAATTTCCGATCGACCACTGTAGCCTGCTATCAATTCTTTGTGGTTTTTATTGTTGCTTCCGCTTGTTGTTGTTTAGAAATAGAAATGATTTCACAATGTACTTTGGCGTCGCGCTTAGAGCTTCGGTTGACCGTTCCGTTCAGCTAAGCTCCCCCCGCCCGCCTCCGTTGCCAACAGCCAGCCAGCCCCTCTGCAACGAAAAGAATAAATAAAACAAAATGGGGAATAAAAATAAAATAAAAATAAGGAATAACACAGCGAAGAACAGAAAAACACGTTTTTCAGACTCGGATTTTTTTGTTTGATTTTTTTTCTTTTTGCTGATTTCTTATTAGATATTCTTGCCGCCTGGCCTGCTCTGCTCCCATCTGTCCGTCTCCCTCGCTCGCTCTCCCCTCGCTGGCCCGCTCCAAAAGACACTTATTATTTATTCTTTCGCTGGCCCGCAACTCGTGGCTTTTGGTTTATGGTGATTCAGCTCAAAACGAGAAGTGAATGTGCCCCCGCTACCCAACTCCCCTCGTCCAAAGCAGCGGTAGAGCAGTAGGCGTCGGCAGCAAATCCAGCAAGCACTGGGAACAAATTTTGGATTATATGCAATCCAGGTAGCAGAAATTATAAAAAAAAAGACTATATAAAACTGTGTTAAGAGATTGTTGTAAGTCAATCTAGCACAAAAATACAATTTTAACTTATATTTCATTTTCCCGTTTGGGTTTTGAATATATTTGAATCCTTATTTTTAATGGCACTAAGATTTTATCTTAAAATGTACTAATTTTTAATCGTTTTTGCAACAACTTGAACTTAATTTTCTCAAGTGTAAATAAGTTTGCATTTCGTGTTTGTGTTCCTTGGTTGTAAAATGTCAGTGTTAAATAATATTGTGTTTATTAAACCAGAAAAACGTAAGCAAATTTACCGTTGCAAGCCGTGAGTAAGCGATAGATGTTTAGAAAGAGAGAGGGGGAGAGAAACAGGCTGGAAGGAAACTACATGCGTGTAAGCAGGAGAGTCGTAGTGATTGACTGATTGATGGTCAAAGCACCAGCAGCAGCAAAAGCAACAACAATCTGAGTGTGAGCGAGTGAGCAAGCTCAAAGATTTGTGGCTGCCTTCTACCTCTTTTTCTTCTGCTGCTTCTTCTTACTTAATGAAGGTCAATGTTCGTACGCCAACGCCGCAGTCGACGTTCTTCTCTGCTTCTGATTCTGCTTCTTCTCCGTCATCTGCCGCTGCCTTTTGTGGATGTTGTTGTCGATGATTGGTCACTATTGTCGTTGTTGTTGTTATTGTCCATATCTGATTACACTCGTAAAAAAATGAAAAAGTCTGTGGCTTTGGCTGATAATTTTTAATGAACTTACAGTAAGGTTGGAGGTGTATCCACTTCGTCTTCTACATCAAACTTCTGTCGATATTAAATGATTAAAAACAATAAAAAGTTTGTTTCTACATTGAATAAACATTAAAAGATTGTCAGTTTTTCGCATGTAGTCATTCGGTCGTTTACTCAGTTCGCTTATTGTTAGTTATTCACTAATTTATTCATTCATTCGTTCATTCATTTATTTTCTTCGGGTTTTGTTAGTTATTCACTAATTTATTCATTCGTTCGGTCACTTAGTTTATAAATTTCTCTTTAATCTTGTTTATTAATTATCAGGATTTTTACCAAGGTGTTCACATACTGGTTATACCATTTGTTCACTCCATTATTTCGTTGTTTAATTTACAGCTTCGGTGAATGAAAAGTGTATTTTGCTCAGAAATACATGTCATTATCATTAAACATTCTTTAAATATTGATTTTCAAGAAAATAGTAACAGAATATTATAGAAGTGCATACAAGGAAACTTTTGTTTATGTTTGTTTCAGTCTTGGATGCTCGTCCCCCTTCATTTAAGTACAAAAGAAAAAAAAAACTAAACTGAAAATCAACCCATAAAGTTGTTTAATGATATTTGATGTTTCTGCAGGCGTGGCTCTCTGTTTGAGTTCCCTTCCTGCCCTGCCCTCCGTCACCTCTAGCAAAGTCTTTCCATATAATTATGGAATAATTTAATTGTTTCAATTTGGGCAACTAATGTTTCTGGGGCTTGGCCCCATCGGTAATCTGGCGGAACCTTTGACCGATTTAACCCCAAACCCTGCGAGTGCCCAGAGTAATGCCCTCCCGAGAATTGTCGTCTCCGTCACAAGTTCTTTGGGGAAATTAGTGGGGAATAACCCACTCGAATCGACAGAGGAAACGGTCCTCAAAGCCCCTGGGAGAAAGAAACAGAGGTCGGGCTCGGTTCACAGAACTTCCCACATCTGATTAAAGAAATAATCAAGGGGTGTGCGAATTGAAAAGGCAAGAAATGTACGGGGAAATCTTTAAAAGCAAGCAAAGCTCTAAGACCGACCCAAAAGTGCCATTTCCGTTGGACCAGCAGAGAAATACATACAGTTGTGAACCTTTACAACTCACTCATCATGTATATTTTCCAGGGTATCTAATGGTTCTTTGGTTATTTTAGAGTACTGATAGTATTGAATAAGTTTTAAGTGCAGTTTTTAAATAATTAGAACCAATATAACGTTTAGAAAAAAATAATTTGGATATTGTAAGATATGTTTTGAAATATAAACAGACTGTATAAATAACCTGCTGCTTTTGCTTACAAAACGGTAACAAAGTTTTCACATGTTCATAAGAACATGTTATTTAGGATAACTTTATTTGTTTCGAGATCTTAAACGTATTTCAAAATAACGATCTCTTCTTTAGTATCTAAGTGTGGTTCCATGTTAGCCAACTTTGACTGTACTACTATAATAATTTGCCGCATCTAATATCGCAATTTGGCGTGGTGCAAGAAGAAGTTCGCCGGTCGGTCGAAAAGCACGCGGTTCGTTGGCTTTAAGAGTGTATCACACAGGCAATTATGAACGTTGACCTTCTGCCAAAAAAAAGTTTCCACTGCCCGAAAAAGGTGAAAGAACAGAGACCAACCGACGAAGACCGACCCCAAAATGAAGGTAACAAAGCCATTAGAAAGACAGAAGAGGCTGTGCGGGGTGAATGGGTGCCAAGAGGCAACAGCCAACCGCCAAGAACCAAGGCAAATAACCAAGAAGAAAATGCGCCAAAAGAACAAAAAGTTTCGAAAAGCAAATAAACAAGAGCTGTTAAAAGGAGAGACAGATAATAATAAAGAAGGGGCGCCGTTGAGTGCAAAACAAAGCAAAATTTTGGCCAACAAAAATGACTTTGCTGGAGTCGGAGTCACGGGGTCTAAGCCACCATACTATATACACACCTCTGTGGCTCTTTAGTTCTGTACCTGTATCTGTATCTGTAGCTGTGCTGTGTACTATAACCTGGCGCTGACTTTGGCTCTTTTTGAAAGTTGAAATGCTTGCCTAGGTAGAGCCAATAAACGAGTTTGAAACAAAAGAACAGAAACAGACGCTTAGCTAACCTATCTCTACCTCCCAGCCATCATCCCCCTACACACGGGCAACCTCCCCTCCACAGCAGCCCTCAACTCCCCCAATATCGCGCGTGTGAAGATCGCGAACTGTGGAACGAAATGGTAACTGGAACACGAGCTCTGTGGCATTGAACCGAACCGAATCGAACAGAAGAAAAACCAGAAAAAGCAGGCAAAAGCTTTGGAGGAGTGATTACCCTCACAGGTCAATCATTTCCACAGTGGATGATATGAAGTCCAATTTGCTGAAATTACCCAGAATTACACTCAGAGGTGGATTATCTTTAGTTTTTTATTTTTTTTTTAAGATTTTATAGTTATGTTCATATTATCCTCATCTGTATCTATACAAAATTGAAATACAACTATGAGGATGTACAGGAAGTTTTGGTCACAATTTTGTGTCCCCCAATTTACCAGCACCTTTCATTAAACCACTCGTGCTGAGAAATTTTCCAAAAAAAGTGACAGTTAAAGCCGGCCATAATTAACAGCGTTCATCAATTACATCAGACCCACCCACCCGCACCCCACTCATAGGAGATCCCACCTCAGCATACCGCAATGACAAAGCTCTTAAATGCGGCCCCCAACCACCCAACTCCCACCACAACCTCTAACATCCCATTGGGCATCCCCCGCAGGGAAGCTCCTTTTTTGTGTGTAGTGCATAATTAACGTAAAGTGTTTCTCATGGCAAAAAAAAAAAAAAAAAAAGAGGGAGAGATCGAGAGGACATGTTAGAAATAATGCGTGTACTTAAGGGCTTTTATACCCTAGCAAATGGCTCCATTATCTGGCCAACAATTTGGTGGTCGTCTATAAAAGAAAGCAATTGGAGTCTGAAATCGATTATAATTACTTTATCTTAAGAATCCTATGGGAAAAATAATAATAATAATAATTTCAATAGTAATATTAAATTGATTTGATCTAATTTAAGAAATAAATATATTTACCGGAAATATCCAGGATTGCTTCGTATTTAGGGACTCATAACAACTAAGGGCTTACAAAACCCCGAAAATAATATAATAAATATAAACTATCATATTAAAAATACAGCAACTAAACCTATTTTCTTTCCTTTAAATATCTTTTCAGAAAATCACAATTTACTTGACAAATGGTCCAAATCTAACGACTGATATTTGAAAGATAAGGGGTAAGTTAGACCATATATCTAATGCCTGAAAGGGTATTCAAGGTTTCGTTAAAATCTAGTATTCAGGTCCCTTTTTTTTTGTTGTACACATCCGCATAGACAATAAATCTATCTTGAGACCGCTTCGGCATCTCTCCTCTCTGTCGTGTGTCCTTCGTACTAGAAACCCAATACCTGCCAGCATGTGAAGAGGAGCAGCTCTGGATGAACTGAAGTGCGGATGTGTGGAGGCGGAATGAGTGATAGTAGAGGGAACAGAAGAAGAACGGGTCGGACGTTGGGCTTATTCATCATATCTCACGTACGCGCCTGATGTCTGGAGTAGCTCTTCTTTTTTTTCTGATTTATATGCCATGCGGGCGGGATCCCGTCAGAGGAAGACCCGGACCCTACATACCGAATGCGAAACATGTGCTAATGCTGTTATTATTATTCTCTTTCGCTTTAAGCCCACTTCCGCGCCGGGCCTTTGGCCCCCCCAATAGTAAAGCACTCTCTCTCGCAACAGGACATTTATCCAGAGATTTCTTGATGGCATCACTGATTTTATTTCACTTTTTGGTTATACATATATTAATATGAGTTTTTTGTTGCCGTGCGAGCAACAAGTTATTCTCTTTTTTTTGTTTTGTGTCTATTCATGGTCCGCAGGTCGCCGGTTAGTTGGTTTATTGACATCAAAGTTCTGCCAGCGTCGACGGCAACGTCAGCGTTAGCGTTAAAGCTACACACTTTTTCAAGTTCGTGAATTTTTTAGCCGTTCGTTGACTTTTGCCGTTGTTGTTTTTCCATGTCTGTTAACGTTTTATATATTTATTGTGTCCAAACTAATGTCTCTTTAAGGCTGTCTGTATTTAACTATCTATCTACCTTTTATATCAAGGCTATACTGCGTTTTTCGCGTTAAGAATCATGATCTTGAAAACTTTACTTTCTATAGAAACAACAAAATGTTGCAAACAGTTTAAGAGATAACAAATAACAAACCTTTAAAGTATAATCAAATCTCGAACTGTGATTTCAAACTGGGGGTGATTAAAAAAATTTGGGTCTTCAACCCAAACTCTTCCAAATTTGTAACCCTGTATCTCTAAGGCAGCCATCGACCATATAGCGTTTCGTTCTCGTTTCAGTTTCGAAATTCCTTTCTAGTTAACAGTCTGTGACCCTTTGCAACAATATTTTCGCAACATTTTAACCAAACCTCGTGAGTTTTCCAAGAACCAAAGCTGAAAACATGAGAAAACGGGGAAGAGCACAAAAAAAAAGCTCAACTAAAGTTCGGATTTCAACGAGCTGATTGAAATTTCCTGCTCGTGGATGAGGGGGCGTCTTCTTCGCTTATTAGTTTAATGCGAATTATGAGGTCAGTGCTGAAACAAAAAAATAAAATAAAAGAACAAAAAAAGAAACTGAGACACTCACAGCGGGAAGACACCTAAGAAGAAGACTCACACAAAGAAATTACGAAAAAGGGTCGGAGACGGCAGAAGAGAGTTCAATAAAGTGCCCTCATTAGCTTTAATGTAAGGGGATATGGTGGGCGTTGAAAACTGAGAACGACCGACCTCGAACCTTCAATAGGGGATCCAAGCGGATCCCCCAAGCTCATGCGGGCACATGTGTCTCCAGTTACGGACTTCCATTCCACCGAAATACATAAACTTATCAGAAAGTGTAAATAAAATACCAACATTTTTAGACATTCACTTTATTTGCTTATTGTTCTTGGCATTAAGTTGTAAACGTAAATTGAGCAATTTGAGATACAGGAATGAATTAAAGCTTTACTATTATAGTTTCCCACTACTTTCCCATTTTGTTAATAGCTTCGTAGGGCTAACAATTATTCAATTAAGAAACTGTATACTTATGTTATTTATTATGTTAATAGGAAATTTTTATACCCTTGCAGGGTATTATAATTTCAGTCAGAAGTTTGCAACGCAGTGAAGGAGACATTTCCGACCCTATAAAGTATATATATTCTTGATCAGCATCAACAGCCGAGTCGATCTAGCCATGTCCGTCTGTCCGTCTGTCTGTCTGTCCGTCTGTCCGTCTGTCTGTCTGTCCGTCTGTCCGTCTGTCTGTCTGTCTGTTTCTACGCAAACTAGTCCCTCAGTTTTAAAGCTATCTGAATGAAACTTTGCATATAGTCTTCTATATGCTCTCACTGCTATATATGTCGGAACGGGCCGGATCGGACGACTATATCATATAGCTGCCATACAAATGTTCGATATATTTTTCGAAAAAAAATTATACCTTTGCTGTTTTTCAACATTTTTGCACCATTTTTTAGATATGGCCGTTTTATATTATTTCAGAATTTTGGTAAAAATTTTATGAAAATCGGACGACTATATGATATAGCTGCCATAGGAACGGTCGAGAAATAAATAGGAAAAAAAATTATAGCTTCGTTGTTTTTCAACGTATGTTTATCTACTCTGAGATATAAGCTTTTTTTATTATTCTAGAATTATGGTATAAATTTCATAAAAATCGGACAACTATATCATATAGCTGCCATATAAACCGATCGGTAGATGTAGAGAAAATGTAAAACTGTAACTGTCAAACTTTAAACATAATAAGTATAGGTAACATGTAATGAAACTCTGTTTTGTGAGTGTTTTCAGCATTTAAATCTATAATATAAACCTCAAAACCAATCTGCAAGGGTATACAAACTTCGGCGTGCCGAAGTTAGCTTCCTTTCTTGTTTAAAGTTTATTTTAAAGCATATTTCAGATTTTAAAATCAGCTAGAGTTAACAAAACTCAAAGTTTTTGCAAAGAATCTGAATTGAGTTTGCGAGTCTTCAGTCAAGACAATTGTCTTGGGTATCTGGGCTAGGAAAACAGCAACAGCTTACGAAAGAATTAGTTTTAATCTGTTCTTTAGAATTCTCCGTTTCTTTCTTGCTTAAGAGGGCTTGATTACAACATTCTCAAATTGCCCGTGTTCCGGAACTAAGAGGTGTAACTAACTGTTTATAGAGCTAACGCGTGGATCCATTAGTGACATAAGAACTGACAAGTATGACCAGAGATGAGTATTTCCTGCTTCCAATTAAGACTTAACTACTCTCTTTCTCTCATCACCTGGTCTTAAAATAAGAGAGAGAGCAAGAGAGCGGGAAAGAGAGGGAACGACAGCTGCACAGCTCCTGCTAATTTCCGGTTTCAAGTGTCACATTTTTTTCCAGCCCAAAATTATTGAAAGAGCCATAACAAATATGTGATCGCTGGCCGTATTTTATGGTTTATGGGTTGGGCTTCCCCCTCTTCCCTTTCGATCAAGGGAAACATCTGGCGGCGTTTGTAGTTGTTGTGTACGACAGCTGCTAAAAAGGGATCGCTCGTTCCGTTTGTTGTTCCTCTTGCTCTTGTGGCACATTGAAATTAGCTGCGTTGGGGTGATTATTATTGAAACCCGCTCGATTGAATTGTCTGTCAATACGGCAATAAAGTAGTTGAGGCTGCTGAGGTCGGTCAGCTTATAAGGCGGGCTGCTTATGAAAAACCCTACCCCCTTTACCTCGTTCTTTTAATTTCTTTTTAAAACTCAAAATCTTAATTTAGAATACTTTCAAATTATTGATTGATATCTAAATTAAAAAATGCTATATCATAATAATAAATAATGAAAGCCCTCAAGGATTTACAATAAGAAAAGTGTCAATAGGCCAGGGTCCCAACTATAGAATCCAATGTTAAAAACTCATTAAAAAAAAATACTTTAAAAAAAAACATTTGTTCATATTTATGTATGCGTTTTAAATTTTTATGATTTTTTTACTTGTAAGTATTTTACAACTGTCATATTCTGTCATAGATTTTTACTACCAAACTAAAGGTTTTTATGTGCCAATCCATGTGTATATATGAACATATGCATGGTTCTTAAATGAAAGCGTCTAAAAAAGCCATTAAGTTATCTTCAAGTTAATTTATTTAAAATTATAAATACATAGTTCTTACTACTTGGCTGCATTTTTATGCCTTTTTGTTACTTTGACGTCTTGTGTGGCAGATGTATTCCAGTTGGAGAAGTTCGGCTGTAGCAAAAAATATTTCAACGCTTGGCGTAATTGTTTTTTCCTTTTTTTTTTCCTTTTGTCTTTGCCATTGGCTTTTGGCTGTTTTTGCTTGTTTTGTTTTTTTCCTTTTGCTGTCTTGTGTCGTATTTTCTGGATTTTTTTTGCGGCCGTATCTTTTTTGCTACTTTAAGCACGTCGTTCGTCAGAGGAGTAAAGTCGAAGGTTCATGAACCGCCGGCAAGGACAAAAGATGTGGCTACGGAGACGGCGGGATGGAGAAGCTGGCTACATGGACATATCGATCACATGGGGAGGAGGCATACATTTCTGTCTGTGTGCCTTATTCCACAATCCCACTTGTTTCCCTGCCACAGCAGCATCCCATCGCACGCTTCCCAGATCCCGTCCACTTGAACCCGTCAGTTCTTGGAATTTTGGCGGGGCTAATCTGGAGGGCACTAAAGTGTACAGCGCCACTTTTGGATACCTGTTAATCCATATATTTGGATGCGATAAAGAGTACCAGGAATACAAATTTTTTAAGAAATACCATTTGCTAGATCCAGATTTCAAAATAATGTATATGTTGAGTTATTCAACTAGGCCAAAATGAATAAGTTTTTTGGAAATAGATATGCATCCTTTATAGGCAGTTTAAAGGTATCTGCTAGTTTAGTACCTTGCGGAGCCGAAAAGGCTTGACAGGAAGTCCGGCCTCCTGTTACTTTAAGCTCCCATAGGGTATACAAGAAAACTATTCAAGCTCTTCATGTAGATACCAGAGTCAAAGAGATTTCACTTAATTGGATCGAACTTAATCCGAGACACCTCCTCTTTTTCGGTAGGTGGGCGGTGCGTGAGTCACGCAGCCTCTGCTACGATATTATCGCAATTGGCGAACAAGAAATCACTGACCTTGACTTTAAGCAAAGTTTAAGGCCCTTTGTGCCAGGCGTATACATATGTACGTATGTTTGTATATATTTGACGTATGTATCCACTCGAACGGCAGCATAATTATAGAGTTGAGCGGCGTGCGCGTTTCTAGACTGGTTTTGTTGTTCTCCGGACGTAGTCCGACGTCGACGTCGACTTTGACTGCGACGCGGCAGAGACGCCAAACGGCGGTTTTGCCATTCCACGCTGTTCTTTGAGCCGCGCGCTGTCGATCGAAGAGTTGAAGAAACGCACATGACGCAAGCCCGCGCAGACTTTTACATTCCCATTTCCATTCCCGTTCCCGACGTCGCTCCTTTCTCCCTCCCTCTCACCACCTATTGCATCAGCGGTGGAAGCGGCAAAGTCAGTTGTAAACTAGTCGCTTATTGTTGTACTTGCCAGGTTGGTAATGACCATAAAGAGCTTAAACTCGCTTATATTCGTGCACAAGACAGGTGTGTGTGTGACTGCTGGGTTCTTCCTTTCTCTGGAGCAGATAAATAGCAGTTCAGCGTGTTGGGGCTCTCTAGCCACACTTTACAGTGTAAAAATGTTGTGTTTGTTTCTTCTGTTCATTTAAATTGATCAATTGTTGGACAAAAGATTAATCTCACTACTAAGAAAAACTATTTTAAAATGTACTATTTCAGAACATATTGAAGTATTTTTAAGCTATAAATCAAATTTCAAATTCGTCATTCACCATTCATTGGAAATTTTTAAAGATTTCGAATTTCGGATGAATCCCTGAGCACTTCCCATCCGGCCGTGTTTATTACTCCAATGACTGGGACCTGTAATTAAAGCTTCCAGTTCAGTTTCCATTCAATTTTGACACTGTTTTAAATTTGAATTTATGCTAATTCTTCCGAATAATCAGTTATTGCGAAACAGAGCCGAAAATAAATGCTAACGATAATCTTTTGACTCGCTGCGTGCAACCGTTCTATGCATGGGGTTTTTACTTCAAAACGACAACAAAAAGCCCGAACAAATTACCCCACGACCAGTGTTATTTTCTGCATTTACCATTTCCTTCTCCTCCTCTCTGTGCAGCCCTTTTTTCGGTTCTCTTCTTCTGTAACTCACTCCCACACTTACACATGCAGAGACCGGAATACTTGGAGTGCACTGCTCCCTCTCGCAATTTATGTTCTGTACTCTGGTTGTATATACAATATGTATGTACATACATATGTCCGTATGTACGTTTGAGTGTGTAGGAGGTTGTCAGAGGTCAGTCTCATTGCGGGCAGCGCAGCTGGCGTAGCCTAGCCGTGGGTATGTCTGTATGTACATCCAAATGTTCATAAATATGTCTGCACTCAGTTCCAATTGCCATTCCATTCCATTCCTCTGGCGTCGTTCTGCAGCCAAAACTAGATTTCGCCTCCGCCGCCTCTCTACCACTCTCTGGCGCTCCCACCCTCTCTCTCTGGCTGGTTCTTTGTCTCTCCCGCTGGCGATAACTGGTTGGGTGAGTTTTTTTGTTGTCGGCTTGGCGTTCGTACCAGTTCCGTCCGTTCCCGGTTCCTCGTTCCGCGTTCGACATGTCTTGTAAAAATTCTTCGTCGGTTTCATTCTCATTCAGTTCTCGACTCTCTCTTTGACAACCCGCCACGAGAGCGAGAGAGACGTTCGAGAGAAGAGAGCATTCACAAGAACGGAACGTTCCGCTTTGAGTGAAACCTATAAATACAAGTGCAAGCGGGCCATTCGAAAAAAATTTTTCCGCAATTTTTCGACCGGACGCACGTTTGTTCTTGTTACATTAGCTTAAAATACATATGCTATATTTAAGGCTATAAGCTGTTTGCGAATTTTAAGCCGGATAAACACGGAAAGACGATCAATCGCGTAAATTTTTCGTCGAGCTCAGAGAAAATACAAGAGCGTCCCTGCCTGTGTACGTGCGTGCGAGTGAACTGTGCGAAAAAGCAATAAAAGTATTAATACTAGTGGAATAATAAGTAAATCTAAGTGCAACAATAACATACACATACCTAGCCTATGTACGTATGCAACCGAGTACAGAGAACCGATCAAATAAGATTATTATACATATAAAAAAAGCCAACAAAAACGAAAGAAACAAATTGTTTGGTTCTGCTTTAGTTCTGCTTCTTCTTCCCCCGATGCTGACGCTGACGTTGGCGTCGCAGCCGCCGTAGAGTTCATCAACTTGTTTAGAATCGCGTACGTGAGTGCGTGGCTGTATCTGTGTGTGTGAATGTGAGTGAGTGTTGCCTTTTCCTGCTGCGCTTCTTCATTGCTTTTGTCTACGAATTCTTTCTCGCTCTCAGTCGCCCGTCTCCGCTCTCTGTCTTCTTGCGACGCATCACTTGCATTGTTTCTGTTTGTTGCAATGCAACAAAACATTTTCTTGCCGCCTTCCTTCTTCGCGTTCCGTCTTCCTTCTACCATTCAGTGCGTGTGTGTTTGTTCTTTTTGACGGGGCGCGCTGTGTTGTTGTTTGCATTAACTTTTTAACGTTTGTACGCATTTTGTTATTATTATCTCATTCCTTATTTTGTTTTGCGCCCCCTGCGCTTTCAACACTCGCGTCCACCTAAATTGATACCGGCAATATTTATCCATGGAATATTTAAGTTTTCATCCCCAAAAACAAGATTAGAATGTTTACCGTTTACCTTAAAATTATAATAACAAATGGGAGTTTTTCTTCTTTAATTATTTAATTATTATATACATATTGTATATAGTCTAATAATTTAACTTGAAAAGTAATTTAAATTTTTATTATTCAAAATCGTCTGATAATGAAATAGTTTAACAACCTTTTAAGCCCGAGGGGTGCGCACTTCCTTCAACTCGAAACGCGACCTTCCCGCGTCCACAATAAAGAAAATGTATAAAAATAAAATCCGAGAGTCGAGCCTATTTATTGCGACCCAACTGTTTCAACAATTCCCCGCCATTGGGTTTTGTTGTTGATATCGTTATTTGTTATTGTTGTTGCTGCCTTGTCGATGCGGAAGAATAAAATAACGAGTTGGTTTTCTTGTTTCTCGTGTGTATTTTAAACAAAAAATTATTACGGCAATGTTCTCTAAATTTAATCACTGTGTAGACTGACTGACAGGCTGATCGACGTGTGAGCCACGCTTGGGGTTCCTCATTAATAAACAAACTGCGTGAGTGTGTGCGCCGAACCCAACTAAAAAAAATACGAGAACGCTAAAAACGTGTTTTAAATTTGTTCCTATCTCTGTGTGAGTGCAAACATAAAACAAACGTACAGAACGGAAAGAAGAAATACAGCATAACATGTCTGTCGAACGCTATATATTCCATGTGTCTTGTTTCACGCTCGATTTGGCGACGCCAGCAGATCTCTGATTAAAAGCTGTCGCAGCTGGCTGTGCTTTATGTAGAACCGATTGCAGTGGGCCCCGGAAAGCGAGAACATGATAGAAAAGACTAGCGATTAACCCAAAGTCAAAGGTTCCCTAGTACTCAAACTAAACGGGACTGATTTCGTTTAGCAGGGATTCTAAGTATTATTATTGTTTGTATTGTTTGCGAGCCAATGGTTTCTTGTTAAATTTGGAAAACATGTTTATAATTAATGCACAAAAAAGCCAGAAATTCTTAAGTTGTTTTGAGCCAAACTTGTGAAATACCTGTTTAAAGGTGGTATACCACTTGTTCAAGGCAAGATTACATTAGTTTGAGATATAATTATTTATATTTTTGTTATAAAAACTATTGAGATTGCAATATGATTCAGTTGAGAACATTTTATGTACATATGTTAGTCCTTGAAAACTAAAGATTAAAGGTTTAACAACAGGGAGTTTACTGTATCTGTGCTGCTGTGATGTACCATTTCCGTGATTTGCAATTCAGATAAGTTCGCTAGCCAGAGTAGAGAACGGATAAATGATAATTCCAGTCAACGATCCTTTCATCAGGGCCGATTTGGGCCATCTCCCGTAACTCGGAAAGAAAACTCTTGTGTAGAATGCATTTCCTGCCCGTGGCGACACTGTTCTTTTCCGAGATTTCTAGAACTCGGTCGGGGTCGTTCGCTTGCCAGTTCCCGCCAATCTTTGCCAGCGCTTCTTGCTGTACCCATTATGTATATTTTGTGTTCTGTATATGTCTGCACTATCGCAGAGCGTCGCTTTGCCACCACGTAATAGATAACGAGGGGAACCCGAAATTGGTACAACTCTAATTGAAAATGTAAAGAAGATAGTAAATATTTATCGGAACTTAACACGCAAACGAGGCGAGCGAACACGTTCCACTTGATTGGATGATGTGGTGGTGTTGCAGCCCCTAGGAGATAGCGCAAATTTATGTTTTTCATAGTAAATAAAAATCTTTTAGTTAGATTTCTGCTAAGATTTTCTGTTGCAGACTTATTTTAAAGTCGATAGCTCAATTAAGGTGTACACAAAAACGTGGTTGGAGAATACAATTTTTGTATCTTAAACTCTATATGGAATATTTCCCAGCCGACACTGTACCTGCGTGCAAGGTTGCCTTGCTATTTCCGACCACCAGTGTAGAGCCCAGGACACGCAGACACTCGCTATCTCCCTTTCTCTCGCACCCATTAATGCCAATGCACTCGAGCGAGGGAGGGGGCCAGCAGCTAACGAACCACAGACACTACAAAGCGCAGTAAGAAAGAAAAATGTTGTGCAGAAAAAAAGAGACAACAAAGAAGAAATAAGAAAAAAAAAAAAAATAATAAAATACAAGAACTGCAACGACGACGTTGACCTGCGGGGCCTTTGACGGGAGTGGGAAAGAGTCGGAACTAGTCGTGGGAGAACGACCCGAAGGAGAGCGGGGAGTGGGGTGAGGTAGAAGGAGGAGAGATGCACGGCGTCTGGGATCTCGGGGCACATCGTTGTTGTCTGCTAAATTGGATGCTGCTGCTGCTGCTCTTCTGCTGTCCTTATTCTTCTTCCAGGTCTTCATCTCTCCTCTGCAACAATAAAACTCCCTTGTGCTTGTCGCAGTCGCAGATTTCCTTTTCCTTTCCTTCTTTTTTCGCCCATTGTCTTCAATAAAATGCGTCGAGTCAATTTCATTCACCAGCAGCTGCTTTGGGGGTCGCGGCGCTGCCCGGCTGCTGCTGACGCATAGCTGGCACCGTCTGAGAAAAAAAAAAAAAAAACGGGAGGAGCAAACGTCGCAGAATTCGACGAATTCTGCTACGGATTACAGTGGATATTTGCTAAGCATATCCAATTATAAAACGAATTCAGATATTTAATTTGGTAGAAAATGGTAATAATAAGGTTTCCTCAAAATGTTATTTTATATAGTAGATACCACAAAATTATGTTGGTATATGATTTTCATTAATTTCTCTCAGACAATGCATTGCCATCCTTAGCTTGGATCTTTCGTTGTTGCCCTCTGCCAATATCTACTGTATTTTAATTTGCATCGAACCGAGACAACAAGAACAACAATCGGTCGTGATGTTGGCTGGCGGTGCCTTTGTCTGCGATTAAGTTGTGGAGAAGCGATGGTACATGGAGCTTGGAGTTTGGAACCTGGGATTTTGCTGATGGGATGAGGATTGAAATTGTGTTTGGGCCTTGGGTTCGGGATGGATATTTTATCTTCCAACTGTCAGCGTTTTTGTTGTTGTTGTTGTGGTACCTCTGAGAAGAATGTGAATTTAGGTGTGTATGTGTGTGGACAGAACAGGTAAGCGTAGTTTGCTTTGTTCTGTCTTATGGCCATGCTCTTTGTGCTGGTCTTCTGGTATATTTGCCATGCATTTTCGTGGATTCTGTATCCTGTGGATACGACAGAGGGCAAATTATTAGATTTAAAGGATAAATAAGAAGAATGTATCTCAAAATGTAGCTATTGCTTTATAGCGTGTTTTTTAAGTAAACTTGAAAATTTATCTAACAAAATACTATAATTTAATACAATCTAGTAATGATTAACCAAACTTTTTTTGCATTGCCAATTTTTCGTACCACCATTGTGAATCTGCCTTTGGGTACCATTGAACTCTGCTGCAGCCGCTGCTTCAACGATTCCGCAGTTGCAACCCCAAAAAACAGACCGCAGGGGAATGCATGAAAATGGAACGCTTGTTTATTTTGCTGCACAACCAGAACGAACGCGCCCCTTCCTCTTTGCCATATTCCACGTTATTTTTGTTGCTGGCTTGATTTGCATTTTATGGAATTACAGTGGTACTTGTCTAAGAAAAATGGTAAAACGTGAAAATACATACATAAGGCAAGGTAACAAACACAAAACACCGTCAGCGCTGGCATATTCTTTAGAGTTAGGGTTTGCGTCTTGTAGAAACCATTTCTAAAATAATATTGAACTCATTAGGAAATCACATGAATTATATGCGTCTTTGCGATGTACGACTGTAGTGTAGTGCAATGGCTCGCACCCCCCTTATTATTTTTTCACCCACACTAGCTTTTGGCTTGAACTTGGTGCTGCTGCCCGCGCTCTTGTTTCTGATCATTATTTCCTTCATAATAATCATCGCCATCGACGCCGCCGCTCCGCTTTGTTTTTCTTCCACTTCTCCTGAGCCATGAAATTTATAATCTTGTACAAATTGTTTTGCATTAGTAATGCCTGTGGCGCAGTTTGTTCCACTTCTCACATGGGTCGGTTCTTCTGCTCCGTTCTTTTCTGGTTCTGGTCTATTCTCAGCTCCCTTTTGTTTTGCTTTCCTCCTTCGTTGCTTCTTGTGCGCCTCTTCGCTGTGCTTAATTACAAAAGATGGAAGGGGGCGTAGAGCAAAAAGGGGTGCGGCTCGCCGCCCTCAGTGCACTGCACTCGCATTTCTGATTATTAGCCTGCTCTCTATTTTTAAACACTTTTACAAGCACTCTGGAATTTGTGGCCCCTCCAAAAGAAAAATGCAAAGTAAAACATATGGCACCGACTTTGAGCTATGGCACACTCTATGCACAGTCGCCCGCCAGAAAAGCGGAAAAGCGAGGAGACGACACAATATTTCTACGATTCAGATGGCCTGTGGCCCCAAATGATATTAATCTCGTCATGATATACAATCCAACTGTCAGTTTGATTTGGCCCGTATTCCTGTTGGCCTGGCCTGGTCGTCTGCCTTCCGTCAACTATGTATCTCACAAATTGGGTAATCTAATCGATAGACAATTCACTCATTATCAACTTATGACCCAATAGAGGAAGGAGGAGAAGCTATCCCCTCTATTTCTTCATCAGAAATTCTACAATACTAAGATTATTTATGGTTTCAATACCTTTCTCAGGGCTTAAATTTATGAAACATCACTTTGTTTTGATCAGTGGTACCCAAAATTTCAGACAAATTTCAATTCTATCTACTATATTGTAAGAATTATGATTTTACTCTTATTTAAAGATATTTCTTATCGTTGGAGTTTTAGTTTCGATTGTTGTAATAAGTTATTTTTAGCATACATATCTATGTATGTGTTATATAAATATCCCATAATTAATTTTTAGCTTAAACAAAACATTTACTATGTTGATCGTCAAGCTGAAATAACATGTCTTTTGTTGTAGGGTATTTGTAGATTCCATAGTGCATATTTCTTGTTTCTCTTCCTCTTTAACCGGTGACGTTTTTGTGCTATTCTCGTGTTTATTAACTAATTTGTCGAAATTACCGGTGGTTTGTTTATGAGTCAGTTTCTTCGCCTGTACACGGTTATGTTTTTGGCTGTGTGTGTGCGAGTGTCAGGTGTGAGCGGAAAAAGTGCTAACGTTAGTGAGTGAGTGATCGATACCTTTTGAAGATCTCCGCAACGCTTCTTTTTTTTTTACCATATTTTTATACTTTTCTGACATCCCCCTCGATTCGCAACAGTTGGCAAAAGGAAACGAAAATTACCGCTACTTTACATGTGTAAATCTGTCTATTGTGTGTGTGTGTCGTCTGGCCATTTTCCGCATATCTTCGCTCTTCTGGCTCCAACTCTGTCTCTTTCCGGCTACCGTGTCTGCCGGTATACAGAAATTTTTCGCTATGCAGTTATGTTGATGAGCTGCAACGTCATTTCTAGCATAGCTTCTTCTTCTCCTCGAAAGTTCTGCGGCAACATAGAACAGAGATAGAGCGAGGAGAAAGAGATGGGAGGTACGTGTTTGTGTGTGGGAGAGCACATCGCTTTGTTTTTATTGCTTTTGGCTGCGGTCGTTGCCCAAATCGGGGAAAAAACATGCGCAGGCCAAAGTTATCGGTTATCGCTTCCTGCTTGCTGTGCTCTCTCTTTCGTGCCTTTCTGCCTCTCACGCAACCTGTAGCGCGCGCAAATAAACCGTTTGTTGCTCTTTCTGGGGAGGTTTTCCGTATTCTTTTCTGTTGTTGTTGCTTTTATTTGTTTTGCTGTGGGTGACTGGCCGCCATATTGTTTTAGGGGTGGCTAAACATTTTTGTGGGGGGTGGTGTGGTGAGGGGGTGCAGTTTTATTGTTGCTTTTGCAGCCGGCATTCAACAGTTCGGCAAAAAGAGCACTCTCTTTGCGCGAGCTCTCTCACTGTTCCTGTCTCTCTTTTTGTAAATGTAAATAGGATGTATTGATTTTTCCCTGATTTTCTGGCGGGGTTTTACCGTGCTTTCTCTAGAGTTTATTAGTTATTATGGGGAAAAAAGAGGAAAACCACAGACAGACAGCAGCCGCAGCGTTGCACTTGTGCAAGCTAGTGACTCCCCCTGGTTGCTGTTGTTGTTGTGAGTGGAGCAGAGCGAATTCCCAGGACATTTTGGCGCTCTCTCTCGCTAGTCTGCCGCCGCCTCTGCCGGCGTCGCTGTCGGAGTGACTGCTGGGATCTGAGATGTGAGCTTTACCCGGGTCGCTGCATTATGCGCAGAGTTAGTTTTGCAGGGAGCTACCTCGCATTCACGTCACGCAATTGTACATAAATAGCGAAGCATTTTTTTCCGTTATAGCAAGGACGCAAGGAAAACTGAAAACACGTACGCACGCAGACGTCACCTTGCTTAGCATTTAATTATCCTTTCTAATAATAACAATAACAATAACGGCATTCTCTTTTCTATTGCAGCCTTTTGTGCGCGCGACGCAATAACTGGGCAGCTCTTGAAAGTATGCTACACAAATTTGTTTCAACGTGTTACTGCAAGAACAAGACCAACAACAACCATCAACATACCACACACTTTATCATATAGACTGCGCTCAAGACAGAGACAGAGACAGGTAGAGAGCGAGAGAGAGGAAGGACGAGAGCAACAAACTATAGCAACAAGAAAGCAAAAACAACAACCAGGAAACGACGTTACCAACTGGAATATATATAGAAATTTCTACAACAAAATAACAACAAAAAAGTAAAGGTAAGTGTTGGCTTATCTCCGTTTATCACATTGTACAGTGGTCGCTCCTGAAAATGAGAATCCGTACCGGAAAATGTGTATTTTCGCGTATCTTGGATTAACAGTTGCCTAATGGATATAGGGAAAATGGATTTAGATTAATTCTTTCTGAAAATAGTAAGCTTTTAACAGGAATATTGAAAAGGAAAGTTTAAATTCCATTTCCAATATATGAAATATGCAAATGAAAACATTTATTAGAGGCTATTAACATACAATTTGCCTCCAATAATTGTTTAAAACCAACTCTTAGATTTGGAGTGTAAATTATTATAATCCTTGTTTACCTAAATTATTTCACAAAATGTATTAATAATACAAATTAAACCCTAAATGGATTTAATTCGTTGAAAAATGATTAATATTTATAAATATCGGAATGAAATGTGGAACGAACATAAGGATGGGGATTTTTGCAAGCATTAGAATTGGCATCTAAAAATCAAATTTGATTGCAACATACAGGAACTTGATATCTTAGATCTTTGAACTATTCGATTTTAAGAAACAAAGATCAAAGAAACAAAGACAAAAGAAAGGAAGTTTCTAGGGATCACTGTATATGTATGCCGACTGTGCCGGTGTGTGGTGTGTGTGTGTGTGTGTGCGCATGATAAATGTACATCCAGTCTAGACAGTTGCAGGACTCCATTTCCCTTTCCCCTTCTCAGGGCCACATCCCTTTCGCATATAAAACTCCCCCTTGGGCGCATTTTTCGGGGTTGATTTTGTATTTCGTTTCGTTTCGCTGGCTCTCTTTGCTTTCACTTCAATTGCCTTTTACGTTGATTTTCTTGTTGACGGAAATTTCGCTTGGTCTAGAACTCTGGAAGAAGTTCCTGAATATTCGATACCCTAACTTACATAGAAGAGTTCTTCTACTTTGCTCAAACTTGTAATGAAAGGAATATCAATCCAATCTTTCAAGTCTTTAATTTTTTTCAATTCCGTTTTAATATTTAATAGCTTTCTTTTTGACACAATTCCAATTTGAGGAGACACAACATAACTTAAAAATGCAATATCTGTCACATGATTTATGCTTTCTATAAAAATGTTTAATGCTGCCTTGGCAACGCGCTTTTGTTCAATTACTTGTAACAAAAGTGCAAGGATGTATATCCTTCGTCTTACCGAAGTTTGTTGCCTTTATCGTTTTGTTTACTTTTTTTGCGACAGGGGTTTGTTGTACAACTCCCCTTCTGTTGCCCTCATATTTCAACGGCCTTTGCCCTGTTCGCTTTCCAACTCCTGTTACTTTCCTAGCCGCCATTTCTGCTCCTGCTCCGTTCCCTTCTCTTCGTCTGTCCAAGGCAGCGAACCGCGAAGGAAGCAAAAAGGGGGAGTAAAATTATGACGAGGGGCTCTGTGAAGTGGCGAAGTTGTCCGTCTGTCTGTGCGTGCGTTTATTGCATTTGTGTCCGTCTCCGACTTCGTCTCTGAAGGCAGGATATAGGGGGGAAATTAGGGGGAAGGCGACGGGTATGTGTGGCAGGGGATTCCCCTCGCGGCCAAAGTTCTTTCATCCCAGAGTACAGCTTCGCTTCATTGTGGCGTAAGAAATTGGAATTGTGTTAAAAAGCATTCCGTGGGGGCGTGTTTCCTAGTTGGATTCGATCCCCTTTAGATGGAGAAAAGACATGCTTACACATACCTTTCAACCGTCTTCGAGGATGTTTAATAAAAGACGGGTCACAGCTGTCAAGCTTTGGGGGATTAGAGTGTTCGACCGCTGATGGGATGGAGGCAATTAACTACAAATTATGATAACAAAGAGAGGGCAGGCCGTGACTAAGAAAAAGGGGCTGCCTGTGGAATATATTTGTTTTTTGTTGTTGGGGCCATGGAAATGCCAAATGCGGCTGAGTCATGAGGATTAAATAAAGAGAGACAAGGAAGGACCTCAGGTGACTCATACTCATTCAAGGGAAAAGGCATAGAATAAAAGCAAAGCTATAATAATATGTAGAGAAATGTATTTTAAATGCTAAGCTATGGTGAATATCCCTGACTTTTCCAAAGTTGTCGTACAATTAAAATTATTAAAAAGGATAAAATATATGAGGAGTCCAATTCAATCTAATTTAGTTTTGTACGCCAGCGTTTTTTGTGGCATCCTAGCAAAGCTTTTAAAGTATTATAAATGAAGTCATCGTAAACTCCTTGTCGGAGGTACTCGGATAACGACCGCACGTTTAAATGAAGAGCAGCGACCATAGTACAATCTTCCTTCCGTGTACACACATTAGCACTCGTTAATAATTAATTTTTCTCAATTTTATTCTTTGCGCTTGCCGTGTTTCTTTGCAGCTGTTACTCCTAAAGGTAAACGGGGCCACCGACGGCAATTACAGCGCTAAGATGGCGTCCTCGCCGACACCATCACTAGACTCGATGCGGGGCGGGGCGAACTCGATTGAATCGTATGAACACGCCGGCTACCTATCAGACTCCCCGCTCACGCTGAGCGGCTCATCGCCACCGGCCAGCGATTCGGCAATCTGCAGCGACGAGTACACGGGCGGAAGCAGCGTCAAGTCCCGGTCAGAGGTGACGGTGATCAATGGCCATCATCCCATCTCGGCCTCGGTCTCGTCCAGCTCCTCGGCTAGCTCCTCATCCTGCTCATCGTCATCCTCGTCGTCATCGTCCTCATCATCGTCCAGCAGCTCCTCGACCAGCGGTCTCAGTGGCTGCGGCAGCACCAGCAGCAGTGTGATCAGCACCAACAATGGAACTACAAGCAACGGGCCCGGCGTGATTGGTAGCAATCTGCAGGGCAATAGCAATGGCAACAGCAACTCTGGAATCAGCAGCCTGGTCGTGGGAGCAGGCAAGGGAAGCAACAGTAGTGCCAGCAACGGAAGCAGCAGCTCATCCAGCAACACATCCGCCAATGGATCCCCGCCACGTTGCACCGCCTGCAAGAGCAAGTGCAGCGATGCGGTGGCCAAGTGCTTCGATTGCCAGAGCTATCTGTGCGCCAATTGTGTGACTGCTCACGAATTTATGCACTGTTTCAACGGCCACAATGTGTGCTTGATCAAGGGCTTTGAGGCCAGCACCACCGCTGGCTCACCACTGGGTTCCGTTGGATCGCCGAGCAACAATCCGGCCTCCAATGAGTTCAAGTACGCCAGCTCTCTGACCATGATGCTGCAGCAACAGCAGCAGCAGCTCGATTCACAGCAACAACAGCAGCAGCAGCAGCAACAGCTGCTGCCGGCGCAGCCCATGTCACAGCTCTCGAAGATTGTGCTAGCCGCTGCCGCCCAGGCGAATTCCCAGGAGCAACAGCGAGAGGAGAACTCACTCTACGGCTCACTGCACCCACAACAACAACAGCAGCAGCAAAGGCAACTTTTTTGTCCGCGCCACAAGCAGGAGCTGCTGAAGTTTAGCTGTCGCACCTGCTGCATTCTGGTCTGCAAGGAGTGCATTGTCCTGGAGCACTCAACCGGGCTGCACGAACTTGAGAATGTGCAGTCTCCGGGATTGACACCAGCCTCCACCGCGGGAACCTCGGCCAATGAGACAGCCTTGCAGACACTGCTCGCCGATATGCGCGGCAAGATTGGCGAGATTGTGGGCATTGCCGGAAACTCGGATCAGAATCTTACCAAGGTGAAGCTGCAGTATCAGAAGGCGCATAACGAGCTGAACGAGACGCATCAGTTCTTTGCCTCCATGCTGGATGAGCGCAAGACGGAGTTGCTCAAGGAGCTGGAGTCCCTGTACTCGGCCAAGGTGAACAGCAACAGTGCGTGGCAGCAGCGTTCCCGCGATCTGATCGACAAGGGTCTGGCCACCTGCGAGGCTGTGGAGCGGAGTCCTGCTCCACCGTCATCACTGCTGGCGGAAGCTCTGCTCCTGCGCAAGTCCCTGGAGCAGCAACTGCAAACGGGCATCCAGGAGATGCAGCTGCCCTTCGAAATGGAGTTTATGTCCAACTATCAGTCGATTCAAGCTGGCGTCCGTAACACCTTTGGCTATATCCGGGCCAGCAGCTCAGATGGAGGCCATGCCGGCCTAAGCCTCCCCAGCAACGGTCACGGAAAGCAGCCACCAATCGCTAGGCCCACACAGAGCGCAAGTAACAGCAGCGCCAGCAGCGCGGGCAGTGGCCACCATGGCGGTCACCATCAGCAGTCGCATCATCACGGCGGCCATCACAATCATCACCAGGCGTCGTCGCACCATCATCAGCAATTGCAGGCGCAATCCTCACTCCATGGCCTCGGTCTGGGATTGAGTGGCAGCAGTCTGCTAGACAGCAGCAGCTCTACTGTTGGTGGTTCAGGCGCCGGAGCCTTTAGCAATGGAAGCCTCCTTTTAAGCGGCCGAGATCGCAGCAACGCTTTGGCCGTAGAGCAGCACTTTGGTGAGCTAATGCCCAAGCGCGGAGGCGGTGGCTACAACGGAAGCAATGGAACTGGCACCAACAGCACCGTGGCACACTATAATCCCTACGAGAAGTGGAGCAATGGCGGCAGCGATAATCTCTTTTCGTCTGTGACTAATGGCGGAGGAGCAGGCAGCTCATCCGTGGCCGATGCCTTTGCCAGTCTGTCGTCGGTGGGAGGCGGTACCGTGGTGAGTGGCGGTGGCAGTGCCGTTAGCTCTGAATCGCTCCTAGACTTGACCAACAAGCTGCTGTCGGCTACCATTTACCCGCCAAAGTCGCAGATCAAGCGCCAGAAGATGATATATCACTGCAAGTTTGGTGAGTTCGGCGTCATGGAGGGACAGTTTACAGAGCCCAGCGGTGTGGCGGTGAATGCTCAAAACGACATCATTGTGGCGGATACGAACAATCATCGCATCCAGATCTTCGACAAGGAGGGACGCTTCAAGTTCCAGTTCGGCGAGTGCGGCAAACGCGACTCTCAGTTGCTGTATCCGAACCGAGTGGCCGTGGTTCGCAACTCCGGGGACATTATCGTTACCGAACGCTCACCGACGCACCAGATCCAGATTTACAACCAGTATGGACAGTTTGTGCGGAAGTTTGGAGCCACCATTTTGCAGCATCCGCGCGGCGTGACTGTGGACAACAAGGGACGCATTATCGTGGTGGAGTGCAAGGTGATGCGCGTGATCATCTTCGACCAGAATGGCAATGTGCTGCACAAGTTTGGCTGCTCCAAGCATCTGGAGTTCCCCAACGGTGTGGTGGTCAACGACAAGCAGGAGATCTTCATTAGCGACAATCGGGCCCATTGTGTCAAGGTTTTCAACTACGAGGGCCAATACCTAAGGCAAATTGGCGGCGAGGGCATCACCAATTACCCCATCGGAGTCGGAATCAATTCGAACGGCGAGATCCTGATAGCGGACAACCACAACAACTTCAATTTGACGATTTTCACGCAGGAAGGGCAGCTGATCTCGGCGCTCGAGTCGAAGGTGAAGCATGCCCAGTGCTTCGATGTGGCGTTAATGGACGATGGCAGTGTGGTGCTGGCCAGCAAAGACTACCGGCTCTACATCTATCGCTATGTCCAACTGGCGCCAGTGGGTATGTAAACACACAAACACACATACAACACACACAAACACACTCCATGGATGGGAGTCCGGAACAGGGGAGAGTACTGTCAGGTGTCGTCCGGCTCTCTCACCTCTCTGCTCTAAGCCTAGTTCTCTCAATAGTCTGACTTGCGCGGTCTCCCCCCAGCTATAATTCTAAAAACTAAATCTAAAGCTTAAACTGAATCGAAATCTGAGAAGAGAAACAGGAAGAGATTAAGAAACTGAAACCGAATCGAAATCTACATATATATGCCCCTTATTCTCCTCTGAAACTGTCGTACTGTCGTCGTCTCATAGCCTAACGACTTACACACGCACACTGTTGGATTGCTTTTTATTAATTATCTATTTAAATTATTGTTGAATTTTGTTTTGATTTTTTATATATATATATGTATATTTACGCTGTTTAAGGCTTAGTTTTTATATTTTTTTGTGTATTTGTTTTACGATAAATATATATATATATACGGATATCTCTGTGTGAATTTTCACGTTCATTTTATAAATCGGACTCCAAACTGAGCAACTTTTTTTTTCCGCCCCCATCTCCCATCTCTCTCGCGTGCAAGTCTCTCTCCCGCATTCGTTTTGAAAGAAAAAAAAAACAAAATAAATGACACTACTTACCTATAACAAAAATAATAATAATCATAATAATACAAGAAGAAATCCCTCCACTTTTTAACTTTGTTGCAATAACTGCGAAAGTTAAAACAAATTAACAAAAAGTAAACTTTATATAATCTAAATTTAACAATTAACAACCCCAAATGAGGAACAAGCCGCGTATCGAGCATTAAATAAGTAATAATTGATTGTAATTCTTAGATATACCTATATATGATTGCGCAAATTGTTTGTTATTATTATTTTTGATTGCATAAACACATTTTGATACATACATATATATTATTATAACTGTTTTTTACGTTTATAAATTATTTTTGATTATACAAGAAACCTATTGATTACTGATTATTTATATTGTAGACCTTAATTATATCCGCTAAGACATGTTTGCTACTTTTATACGAAATCAAAACCGAACCCAAAACAAAAACAAAACAAAACCGAACCCAACCGCGACACACAAACAACAATTCACAAATTTTTATACTCGCTTAGTTTTTATGTTTTTATTGTTTTATTATATTATTGTACAACCACACACCCCCCACAAAACGAAAACGAAAAAAGAATTTTATTAAAACAAAAACCATCAACACACCGTTTCTTAATTTTAATTCAACAAGACCAACAACTGCAACAAAACAATGCACTGAAAGTAGTTAAAATAACACATTTATGTTCATAACTGTTAAAGCTATTTTTTGTTTAGGAATTTTTTTTTTTAAACCCTATTATTTCGACAAATTTGTTGTTTGGCCTGATAAATGATTTGTTGTCAAATGGAATTTAAATAAATATTAACAAGAAATGAAGACGAAAATGAATAGTTATGTGCACACCAACACATGCGACTGTTTTTAATTTTAATCGATTAGCGAACGTGAGCGTGTGCATAGATAAATCAAATTAAGGATTAAACAAAATAACACTTAACTGAAAGTTGGCAATCAGTGCAGAAGACTTAAAACATTTATAACTATTATAATTATACAATTAAATATGTCTATGTCTCTATACATACGCATATATGTATTTATAAATATACATTAAATTATGATAAACACTTAAACAAGTAATGCAAAAATCTCAAAATAATTTAATAGTTATAAAAATGAAGAAAACCATGCCAAGCCAAGCCAAGACGACCATTCGCTTCATTGTTTTGTTTTTCTCTCTCTCTTGGTTTCTTCGAAAGTAATATTAATATTTAATAAAAAGAAGGCCAGGCAGTGCGGAAGGATGATGTTCCGCACTGTATTTTAGCTAGACTTTGTTGTTGCTTGCAATAATTCAGATTATGAAAGCATTTATGTTTGCCGAGCCTCAAAAACAATGCAAACCTAAACGAAAGTGTTCTCTAAGTTAAACGTTAGTTGAAAGAGGGATGAAGATGTGACAAGTTAAATATCTAAAGTGAATATTTAGTGTGTACTATTTAAGGCGAAGGTAAAACAAACAACTTTTTGAGACTACAAACGCAACATTAACAGGAACAGCATTTAAAAAATGTTTATTTTGTAATTTTTTTAAAGTAATAATCACTATTTTTCGTTAGTTTTGAGCTTGAAACGCGACGCGAAGTATCCCCAAACTCCCTTACCCCCGCCCTCCCTCATTAACCACACCCACACGCATAAGCAGGTATTAGAATTCTTGAATATAATTTTACGAATATTGTATTAAAAACAAAACGTAGTATTTAACTAGCATAGTTTCCTCTTTGTTTGTTTTGAAAAAACGCTTTGCTTTGTGTAACTTGAAACTTTGGTTTATATTTTTATTATTATTATTATTATTATTTCGATTGTACTATAATATAATTATTTTTATTTGTGTGTATCTACTTAAGTGAGATTATTAAATATACGAGAATATATTTTTTAGTTCTTTCTTGTTGTAAAATTTCATTGACTTGAATTTGACTTATTATTGTATTTTAAAGCTGATATGTATCGATGTATAATGGTAGCTGTAACAACGACAAATGGGTTAAAAACAAAAGTATTGTACGTTTTCTGTGTGAGAGAAAAACAAACTCTTTGACAACCAAAAAAAAAAAAAATTACAAAACAAAATACAAACACTAAAAAAAAGAATAAAAACTGTTGAAAATTTTTTATATAAATTGTTGAAACAAAACAAAAAAAAAAAAAACACCTAAAACATAAATGAAACTGCTAATTGATGGTATTTATTATGGCCTAATGCATACTATTTAATTATATATTTATTATTAGCATTTTAGCTTGCACAAGCCGCGTTTCTGACAAGGACTTTTATTTGTATTTTGTGCTTGCATAAATTTGTTTTTATGTTTATCAACTATTATTATATCTTTATTATTACGTTTTAAAATGTTATACAACAAACTGCAAACTACAAACACGAAAAGTGGGACACAAGAAAGAATATAAAGTAATATAAAATATATGCATTAACAATAGCCAAGCAATCTCTGCTTAAAAACAAACAAAAAAAAAAACTGTTGTAAAACCCTACACGAAAAACACAACACACCCAAAACAAATGCCACAAACTGAGAAACTGAGAAACAATTAAAGATTTTTATACATATTCCGATAAAAGAAAACCCAACAATTTGTTTAATTTATTTATTATTTGTTCGATTTGATTATATTTTCCGTTCTTAGCACTTTTAGATTTGTACATTATTGGTTTGAACACAGATGCGATGTTTATTAACCCTATGATGCCGACTGTCCCGCTTCCGTAGCCCCTTTCTTTCCGCCCTTCTGACCCCCGACCCCATTTCTCTGTCCGTCTCTGACGCACCCCTATTGTACTAGTGGTAAACTATTTAATCTTTATATGGATATAAATATATATGTGAATGTATGTTGATAAACAAATTGATGAATTGAGAATCTAATAGACTGTGCAAAAAAGAAAAGAAAATAAGGAAAACCGACAACAATTTTTTTAAATATATATTTCTGTATATTTAAAAATCTCGGATAAGGAGCAAAACAAAACAAAACAAAAAAAAATAAATAAATAAAAAGAAAAATAGTCTCTTTGGCACGTAATCCCAGAGAAAGAGAAATATATAAAATATTTATACAAGATAAATTGTGTAACTAAAGCACAGTGTGAGCTATCAAAACTTACTAAATAATTAGCAGTTTTTATTTTCGATATTCCAGATCGATATGTAAACGATTTATACCGCCAATTAACTGTGCTCTAATCCTCTATATAACCAGACAAGCGTCAAGGCCCTCTGATATCTTGCTCTATATATATATATATATATATATATGACCGATTTATGTATGTTAATATTGCCGATATAGTATATGTAGTTGGGCATTTCGCGTGTGTCGCCATTTGTGATTATTTTTTTGGGCAAAGTCTAGTTTTACCCGAAAAAAGGACGCCAAAACGGAAGGGAAAAATCTGAAAGGAAAGGGAAAAATTCAAAAGTTAAGTAAAAACCACCAGAAAAAAGGAAAACGCAAGAAAAGAAAACGATAGAGGAGGAAAGGATAAAAAAGAATCATTTAGAAAAGTCATATTTTGAGTAATGTTAAGCGTAAGTGTTGTATAATAAATGGCAATGCATGCTAGTGTTGGAAAACACCACATATACATCCATACATATTATCCATATATATATTATTGCCACTATTATTTTTTATGATTGTTAGGAGCTCTCTATGAATGTTGAACGGAATCGAAGCGAAATCGAATCGAGGCCAATCCATCTACGGATTGGCTCCTCTCTCTTTTTGGGGTTGGTTAAGAGACTGTCAGGCACAAGTTACAGAACAGAACAGACCTAGATGTTAGGATATATATATATGTATATATACAGACATATTTGGTGTTTGTATGCCATATCTAAAAATCATTTTAATTGTAGTTTATATTTTTGATAAATGTTATTAAGGAACGGAACACAAAAACCAAACCAAAAACAAAGAAAACAAAAAAAAAAAACAACATAAATCAAAGGTCATTTGGCGGCATTGTTAAGCGTATTTGTATGGAATTTAAATTTTGTACAAGTTCTAGTAGAGATTGGCGGCAGTTTGAATTCAATATCTCTCAAAAGGGCAGCGAACTAATGAAAGCAAACCAAAACCAAAACTAAAACTAAAACCAAATCCAAAAAGTAAATTAAAATTCAAACTGGCTTCGTAGAAGTGTTTTTAAGTATTATTAGAAATTATGCAGTAAAAAAAAAGGAAAGCTCCAAAAGAAATGCTTGAACCACTAAATTATTATGAACATAACATATAGATATATGCATCCAATTGAATAATCTCAACAACTGAGTGTGTCTGTGTCGTCTATGTTTCGGTTAGCATCTAGTGCAAAGCGATCGCAGCTCGATCGAAATCGGCTTTCAATAAGTAGGATTTTAATTCTTGGTAGTGCTTACTTCAACCACATGTTTTAAGGGAATAAGAACACGAGGAGCGTATATATAGGAATACATTTAATATGCATGCTTGAGTAGTGTCTGTTTGAGTGTATGTAATTGGTATGTAACCTAACTAAGAATTTGCGTAAAACGATTTCGTTCCATCACCCCCCCCACCCCCCGTATGGTTTTCCTTGTTTCTCATTAGGAGTAAGGAATTGATAACATGATTATCTAGACTAGAAATTGAGGAACAAAAACATGAACAAGATCAATTCATCATTTCTGTAACCATTAACTGCTTTGGTTTAGGAACTTCACCGAATATTCAAGTAGCAATCCAAGAAACACAACTAAACATAAATGATAAATACCAAACAAAATAATTAATGACTATGACTGATTTTATACACGAATTGAAAAAAAAAGAAGATTTACACAACAAATTATACACATATACATACATATATATATATGAATATTTATATTTATAATGTTGCTACTATTATATAAAACGAGACGAGTTGAAGTTGAAGCCCCGGATTAAGTCCTGGACCTCTCCATCTGTAATACATTTTACACGTTAGGCTACTTCTGCTAATACTTATATATATATATATCTACGAGTATATATATGAATATATATATTTATGTGTGTGTTTAAAAAAGAAAACAAAATATATATAGTAGTGAACTCAACAGTTTTTTAACACTCAAAAACAACAAAATCTTAGACTGCTTCGAAAACGTAAACGTGAAACTTAACAAAATAAAAACTCTTGTGAAATAAAATGAATATGAGACTCGTTTAGGGAATTTTTCTGAAAAGATTTTCCGTTTCCGCTTTTATCTCTGCACTTGTTTAAACTGAGAAATTAAAACTAACTAACTGATTTAGGCTGAACAACTGATTTTTCACTTCTTTATTGACTAAAACGATATAAAACACTAAAAATGCAAGAAAAAAATATAAGAAAAAAAAAAGGAAGAACGAGAAGAAGAATATAATGAATATTTTCGCTAACTTTTCTAGGTGCAAAATATAATATTTATATACATCCGTAAATTTAATCTATAATTAAAGTGCGTATACAAACTATAAGGCATAATAATTAAATGTTTGTTGTTAGCTGCTTATTCTTCCTATTGAAGATTACCTAATATAAACCAAAAATTACATACACAATTCATATCCCAAGCATTTTGTAATTTTTGAAGCAAAGCAACATATTAAAAAATAATACTAAAAATAAAGCAGAAGCACGCAAAAAAAAAAGAAAACTAAAAAAAAATGTATTTAAGTGAAACATTTTAAGAAAGAAAGTTAATCTAACTTTAAATGAGAACCAAATGGGCAATGTATAATGCAATAACTAAATAAGAAGTTTATAAAATTATGACATATTTTTACAAATTAACACATTTCTTTTTTATTCCTGTTCTTTTGGCTTAGAAAAATTACTCTACCACAAGTATGTCTCAAAATTTTCAATTATAATATATTATTTTCTAAATTATAAATTCCCCCTTTTTTAATTTGTTTAATTTTTATTTTTATCTCTTACAGTAATGCACAAATTACACAACAGCAGCAGCAGCAGCAGTGACAACAAGAGCTACTTGGCAGACAGAATACAGCAACATTTCATTTAAAAGAGAGATTATTATTATTATTAATAACAAAACATTCCCCATTTAATTGTGTTAAGTTGTGTTGAAATTTGTTGTTGGAGAAAATAAGTGGTAATTAATTAAGGATTGTATGCCATGCCATTCATTTTCTTATGTAAGGATATGGAAATGAAACACGTTTACGTTACGCAATTATTTTAAATCAATTTTGGGACTCAAAAAAAATTTATATAAATACGAATATATATTTGCAATTAGTGTAAATGAGTCTCTACGGTCGAACCGCACATTAAAAACAAAAACACAATACATAAACAAAGAAGAAAAGAATGTTGCTAAATCATTTGGAAATATGCATAATGTTAGCTCATCTTACTCATAATCACGCATTCGCATCTAGATTTTAGATATTTATAAAGCTATATAGTGCAACTAAGCCGAATCATGGAATCATCATCTAGTCATCATGCATACATATATGTATTTTTATAATAATTAATATTAAACGAAACCAAAACGAAACGAAAACAAATATGAACTAAACCGAAAAAGAACACCAATCTAATGTTAAATGTCGTTATAATTAAGTTTTCTTTATATACACATATATATATTTATGTTTTAGCTAACGATTTATATATTTGATTTTAAAGTCTCCCGCAGTTTGAATTTAAAACTAAATAAAAAAAAAAACAAGTGTATACAGGGTTTTGCTTAAATGGCTTTCATATACCGTATATGTATTATATTGTCATATGAAAACAAACATTTAATATCTGCTAAAATATTATGTTTTATCTATTATGGTTAATTGTTTACACCATGCCACACACGTTCTCGGTTACAACTCGTATATTTCGCTCAAATTTTGTTTTACAGTTAAGAAGTACTTACAAAGAAAACGAAAATGTTAAAGCAACGGATGATAAGGAAGGAAAATGTGGAAAATATGGACTGACAAGCAAATCATGTATATCATTGAGGGTTGGCATTTTTAGTCTTTACATAAGTATATAAAATAATTACAAATAATACATTGTAGACTTTGTCGCGTCAGGCATTCTCTCAGCTGTTTCGAAACGGGAAAATTGTTAACTTTTTGTGTTGAAATGAAAAAAGAAAAATAAAAAAGAAAAACGTAAGAAATAAAATAACATATATACACGCCCACCAAATGCATACTATATGCTATATACTGTTTCTAATATGCATACAAAGATTTAACCACACACACACACACAGACAGAAACTGGTACTGATGATACTGAACAATTACAACATTTGGTTAAAGTTCGTAACTGACCCAACTTACTGCCAGGATAGCTCAGCTCAGCTCCTCCTCATACACCCTGCATTAAACTCACTCAGTCAGTCAATCGATCAGTCAGTCAGTCAGTCAGTCAGTCGATCAGTCATTCACGCAATCAACCAATCCTACCCAGGAATCAAGCACAATTAAATGTAATACAAAAGAGGAAAAGCATTTAACTTGAATATTTTATATTTTCCAACGGTGTTTACTTTTTGTTTTTGGTCAAGAAGAACAAATAATGAAAACTCAAATAAAATATAAACTTAATCGTAACTAAATCGAATACGATGTAATTGAATGTGAACGTTATTAACTCATTAACTATTATTATAATCTAAGATTCCAACTGTATGCGCATTTTATACATATATAAAAAAGTAAGGCAAACAAAATAAAAAACAACTCATTAATGTAATGTGTAAGGGAAAACAAAACAAAACAAAACCAAAAAAAACTTACATTAAATTATATATAAATATTTTTATACATGTGGAAAAACTTAAAAAAAAATAATAAAATAAATGCATGATAATTCGTTAAAAGCTGCAATTTGATCGAGTGACGAGTTCTAGAACAACACTACAAGAATTTCTACTCAATAACTCCATTGCAAATGTCAACAACATCGGCGTGAATTTGAGTATTTAACAACAACATGAAAGTCTTTTTAATGCTTAGGGGCCACAATTTTCGAAGTAATTAAAAAAATGAAGAAAACAAAAACAACATGAAATTATTATATTAATATACGGTATTAATTAACATTTAAAAAATGTTGTGTAACATTATTAATAAACCAACCAAGAACAACCAGCAACAACAACAATTGTATTGTAAGAATTTCTATTTCCATTAAACCACAATAAAATTATTTTGTTTTTAAATAAACTAAATGGCTTTCAATATTCAATATTTAAACATATTCATAAAGATATTTGTATATCTTAAAGGTGAGTAAAAAACTAAGCCATATAATATTAAAGAAAAGGTAGGCTTTTTAATACAAAATAAAATAAGAGAAAGCTCATAGCTCAGAGTAGATGAAAATACGTTGAAAAACAACGAAGCTTTAATTTCTTTCTATTAATATTCCTATCGTTCCTATGGCAGCTATATGATATAGGGTTTGGGAACGGACAGACGGACATGGCTAGATCGACTCGGCTTTTGATGCTGATCAAGATAATATATACTTTAGATATCTCCTTTACTGCGTTGCAAACTTCTTACTTCAATTATAATACCCCGCAAGGGTATAAAAAGACAATTGTACCTTAGAGTCCAATAGCTTCAAAACTTTTTCTTACCTTTGAAATTGAAAACACGAATTAGTTCATCTCCGAAAGTGTTCCATGTCCAATTTCCATATCAAATTAGGTTAAAACAAAGGGTATATATAGAGTCCCGCCCGACAATCTGCAGTGTGTTTGAAACAAAGTTTCCAATGAAATACTTTGGTGAGTCTTAAATCAAGAGGATCCATATCAATCCATTTAATACCTTCTTCCCAGGTCTCATATCAGTCAGTGGCTGGCCGGTTCACGGAAGACTTCTATCGACTCTTAGCCAAGGATAATGCGCAGAAGAATCTAATTTCCTCTCCGCTCTCCGTTAAGATAGCTATGGCCATGGCGTACATGGGAGCTGAAGGGACAACAGCAGACGAACTACGAACCGCCCTGAACCTAACGGGGGAGAAAAAGCAGGTGGCCAGCAAGTACAAGGAACTCCTTAATGACCTCCTAGGGCGGGAAAAGGATGCGATTCTTGAACTGGCTAACCGGATATACGTCAATGATGAATATAGTCTGGTGCCAGAGTATAATGAAGTATTGAGAGACTCCTTCAAGGCAGAAGCTGTGACCATCAGTCTTAGCAATGCTCAAAGTGCAGCCGGGAAGGTCAACCAGTGGGTGTCGGATCAGACTCGTGGCAAAATCAGGGAAATAGTTACCTCCAGTGACATGAATCGTGGTCTAAAAGCCTTGCTCCTGAATGCCATTTACTTCAAAGGCCAATGGCAGTACAAGTTTGATAAAAGCAGAATCAAAAAAGAAGTATCAAGTATCCAAAGAGGAGCGCTCACCTGCCCAGATGATGTCCCAGTTGGGAACATTTAAAGCTGCTTACCTGTATGACTGAGATGCCAAAGTGATCGAATTGCCATATCGAAACTCCACCATGTCAATGCTCATCTTTCTCCCGAACAAGGTGGATGGTCTTAGCGAATTGGAGGATAAGATAATAGGCTTCTCAAGACCTTTGTTCGAAAGGAAAGTGTATGTCAAGCTGCCAAAGTTCAAAATTGAGTTTGAAAAGGAACTAACGGATTACCTTAAAATGGTTGGTATATTTTTATCCTTGTTATCAAGGGATTTAAGTATTGTTCTCGTACCTGCAGTTGGCCATTCGCTTGTGCTTAAATCAAACATCAAAATTAATAAAGTCTTGCAAAAAGCCTTCATAGAGGTAAATGAAGAGGGCGCAGAGGCAGCAGCTGTCACAGGTAAGGGTTTGCTTTTCTGTTAAATATATATATATTATACATTTTCTTAATATCTAGCGGTTTTAATACCAGTGTCTCGGCAGCTATCTAAGGAACCTCGAGAAATAATAATTGATTTCATAGCTGATCATCCGTTTGCTTACATAATTCGTGACGAAAATACAGTCTATTTTCAAGGACACGTAGTAAAGCCTGTAGGTTACTAATGGCGAGTACATATGTATGTGGATAGAAAACAATCCGATTAAAGAGCTATTGATATTTCCCTGTCCCCAAACTGGAATTTCAACCAAAATAGTTTCTTGTTTTCTTTTTGTATTTATTTATTGATTTTGTTATTCTAGGCTTATCCTATTCTGATGATTTTGGTAGTTTTTTAGTCCTGCAAACAAAACAAGAAATCAATAAAATGAATGGACTTTTGTAAAGACTTTACTACTCACATCACTCGCAGCTCTTCCAGCGTGGGTATACTCAAACGTGACGGCAAGTGGCCAGCGGCATCCTCTTGCTGCATTTCCACAGGATGCTTCTTCACTTTGTGGGATCGACAGTTGGCATTGCATGCAAAAGACTTTCCGCAATAGTTGCACACATATGGCCGTAGGCCCGTGTGGCTGAGTAAGTGCGTCTTGAGTGTCTTCGAGCGCTTGAATAGTGCTCCGCAGACGTCGCACTTCAGCCGACGCTCCTCGCTGTGCACCACCTTGTGCATGTTCCAGGTGCGACGCGTCTGTAGCTTCTTGCCGCAGATGTTGCATACGAAGCTGGGCTCCGCATGGATCTGGTTGTGGGCCTTCAGTCGAGATCGATTCTTAAATCTGGCCTTGCAGATGCTGCACTCGAACGGCCGATTGTCCGTATGCACCAGCTTGTGTTCATTTAGGGCCGTGATTGTCTTCAGCTGCTTGCCGCAGCTATCGCATATGAAGGGCTTTACATTGTTGTGCATGCCCTCCTTGTGCAGCTTTAAGGCTGTGGCAGAGGAGAGGGTCTTGTTGCATAGATCACAGGTGGTGTTGGCGGTTGTTGCCTTGTCCACTTTTACCCTTCGCTCGATTCTGCGGCACTCGCCTTCCCTGTGCTTCTCATACGAGGCGCGATTCTTGTAGACCTTGCCGCATCTCTCGCAACTCATGCGTCTGCGTTTGCCGCTCTCATCAGCGATTACTTCGTTATCGGCCGTTAGCGGTTTGGCCAAAGAGACGAGACTAGAGATTTCATTGGGTGTAAGTGGCAGGAATTCGGGATCAGCTGCCATCAGGTCTGGCTTGACATCCTCCTCCTCCTCCTCCTCTTCGCTGGAACCCGAGTAGGTGGAGGTGATGTACATTCGAGATTCCCCATGCTGCGGCACCTCAATCAGCACATCATCCATTCCCAACTGATTTGTATAGTTGTTCTCCAGCAAAATGGGATCCATGTCAATAAATTCCTGCTTGGGCACATCGCCTTCTAAAGTGTCTTTGGTTTGAGCCCGCTGTGAGGAGTCTGCATCTCTTATCATTATGAGTTCTTCCCTTGCTCCTTGTGGTTGAGATTCCTCCTGTAATACTAGCTTTCGTTTCCCAAACTCTGAAACGTCGTCCATTTCCGGCACTGCCATTGGCTTGATAATGTGCGTCCAGTCATCCTCATCAAGTCCGTACTGCTGTCGCAGAGCTGCCACATCCAGGCGCTTGTCCGGCTCCTTTTCCGTGCGTCGCAGCACCTCGAAGATGGCCTGCACCTTGGTCACATGTTCCGAAAAATCAATTAGTTCGCTTATCAGTGTGTAGCACTCGGTGCACAGCACACTGCTCAGCTCATCCTCCATCCGCATCTGAGATAGAAAGTGGCGTAGCGTCATCTTCAGCATCTCCTTAAACCAGATAACTACTTACATGCACTTCGAAGTACTTTCGAATGGCCATTACCAGGACGTTGTCCCAGGTTCCCGTCTGGTCGCTCATTTGCACCTTCACGTTCCTCCTGGCATCGTCCTTGGCGCACAGCCGGCACCAGCTTAGCCAGTGGCTGTCCTCCGCCATAGTTAGACGGTTTCCAGTTGTCTTATCGCATCGTCCAGGAATTGTTTACTTTTTTAGCGAGATTAGCGTCTAAATTCTGTTTGTTGTTTCGGTGGACTATCGATAATATTCGATTGTCGTCAAATAGTATTTTTTGTTCAAATAAAATACTAGGCAATGCGCGTGGTAGTATTTTCCGTTAAAAAACTTTCTAACGGTATTAATTTTTCTTTTTCTGTATAATAAATAAAATAAAAAACCTTTGTGCTGTTTTTTTTTTTTTTACATTTATTGTTCCACTATGTTTTGTTCACCTAAAGCCTTCAGCACCGCGGACCGCAACAGCAGCTGCCGCTGCAGCGGCAACACGGCATTGTTGCAGTGCCTGTCCAGCAGTTGTAGCAAAAGTTGGTGCATTGGATGCATGCGGGTAGATTGCAGCAGCCTCCTGGATTGCAGCACATCTTGGAGTTCGTAAAATTTGACGGCTGCGTTCGACAAGGAGTACCCGAAAGAACTAAAGAAGAAATGTTAAATTATTAAAATAATAAAATTCCTCACTTACCTCAACCTATTTCCAAAAAGTTTATACTATTGGAATGATTTTGATGATGATTTATGATTTTTGTGTCGTGTTCATGACGAGACTCAAAGTCAGACTGATGATTTCTCCCGTTGTCATTGGGCAACTTGAAAGATTTTGGCAGGCACTGGAATTCAGGGATTACTAGATGGATTCTGTCCCGTTAAGGTGTTTTTTTGCCATCGACATTCAATATTGCCTAGCATTGGTGAATAGGCGGTAACACAGTAAGGACCTCCGCACTGCGATGTAGGACAGCAGTAGCTGCAGTCAATTAGACAGCACTGGACGCAGGGAGTGGAGCGGTAATAGCGGCTAGGGCAACACATGGTGGCTGGAAAGACGAAATATCTGATATTACACGAGTCCAAAAACTGTAGTGTACTCTGAAAATGTTAGTAAATGCACCGGAGCAGTATTTGCAAAATATTGAGAGACCATTTTGTTGGGTTTTCAATCATGTACATTTTTTTTTAAATAAACTCACATTTAAAATATTTATACGGAAAAGTCGACGATAAACACACCTTACAGGACAAGGCTTGGGAACAAACTGATTATGGAATAGAACGAGTTCAACTACATCCTCGAAATTGAAAGCAAAGCCAACTCAGTTAGGAAAATATTTTAACTAAAAAAATCTAATAATTTAAGATGTTCCTTTGGAATAGATTCGTACATTCATAACAAGTGTTTGTAAAAAATGTTGAATATTTTTAGAATTGGTGGCAGATTTTGGTCATGTCTTTAAATAATATTATACGAAAATGTTTAAGAACTCGTTTTTTTATTCGTTGTATTTTTCTCGATGTTTATATTACTATTTTGTTGCAGGTCGTTGAGAAGTTCGAATATAAACCCATTATAAATTTGTACAGAAGGAGCATCGATCTTATCTCAATATTTCCTATTTGGCAGCTCCATATTTATGACTTAGCAGCAACCTCTGGGGCCGCATGGCATAATAGTACATTGAAGATAGGCTGGAGTGCAGGGTTCGCAGCACATTTCTACGCAACAGTTGTAGGCGCCGCCGCACGGGTCGCAGCAACGAGGTCCACAAGGTCCGCAGCACATGTTCTGAACAAAATCAAACCTCTGAATACAGTTTTATAAGCAGGATAGACGTTTTGCTTACCTTAGTTAAGGTTTAGCTTTTTTAGGGGTCCTAATTTTATTTATCCTTTTTTCGTTCTAAAAAAGTCAATCTTAAAAGCTGTAAGAAAAGTATAGTTAATTATTATTATTATAATTATTAAGCTAGCTAAACTCACGTTGAACTCAGTTACAGAAATAGGATTTTACAACAAACAAAATAGTAACGATAAATTTTGGACAATAACTATTTCTAGAGGTGTTAACACAACGAATTTTGTAAAACGAGTGAATATATAAAGTAGATAACTAGGACATTTAAAATTTACTGGTATTAAATGAATATCAGGGCCTACTTGGGGTAATCAGAAAATTTCTTGTATAATAAACCAGCTTTCGAAGTGCTTTACTGTGAGATATCTAAAGCTTTGAACATGAAATTATAGGATCCTTAAGAGGGCATCTTCGTAAGGTTTTTCGATTAAGGATTTCGATCAGCAGCTTTTGAAACCTTAACAAGAAAGAAAGCTAACTTTGGCCAGCCAAATATATGTACCCTTGCAGGTAACAATTAAAATATATCATAACAAAGCCAAAAATGCATTAATTTCGATTCGGAAAGCGGTCTTGTGTTAGTTTTTATTAATTTAAAAAAACTGCATACCAAATTTAAAATTTTAAGATATCAAAATTTTTGGCCATTTTTGCTAATTTTAATGATGTTACCCCTTATCAAATTTCGCAAAAATGGCAAAAAATTCGATTTCTTCCGGACATGTCTAGAAAGATTCCCCTGTTGATGCTGATCAAGAATATATATGGTTTATGGGGTCGGAAATGATTCCTTGACTTGGAAAAATATTATTTTGTATTATGAAATCGGATTTTTTATATTAAAAAACTTCTTAATTTTTTTTTTTAAATTAAAAATATCATAACACGGCCAAAAGAGCATTAATTTTAAATCGGAAAACTGTTCTGTGCATGATTTTCTACAGTTAATAAATCTGCATAATTCATTTAAACATTTTTAAAAATCAATTTTTTATCAAAATCAAAAATTTTAATGATGTAACCCCTTATAAAATTTTGCAAAAATGGCCAAAAAATCGATTTTTTCCAGGCATATCTAGAATAATTCCCCTGTTGATGCTGATCAAGAATATATATACTTTATAGGGTCGGAAACGTCTCCTTCACTGCGTTGCAAACTTCTGACTGAAATTATAATACCCTTTAGGGGTATAAAAATACATAGTTTTCTTCCTGAAGTTTAAGATCTGTGTTGTCTCATCAGGTAATTTAGTCTGCAGTTTGGATTAAAGTCATAGTTTCTCTGCATCGGTATACCCCCAAAAAGAGCAACAATCTTCGCTGTGCCCCGTATTTATTAGACATTTTATAAAATTAACAAAAAAATACGTTTATTTTAAAATTAAAGCTACCGATTTATCGATTTCTTATCATACCATTGTCTTATTTTAGTATTTTCGGTAGCAACCTCTTTGAGTGTGCAACGTTCACACTGGCAACAAAAGTTCCAATTGGAAGATTGAAAAACTAGAATATTAAATGTTATTGTACGAATTATAAATAAAACTCAAAATGCTGCGCCAGGAGAACTTGGCGGCCAACTTCTGCGGTCTGTTGGCCACCCAAGGCTACAAGGGTGAGTAAGCCATTCCAGCTGTTCAATACAATAATGTAAAAAGTTTTTCCATTGAACAGAAAAGGCAAACGAGTGGCGCATTTTGGGGCAGGAGCAAGATGGCTCTATGCTCACATCCTGGATATTTGAGTATGTGGAGGATGCGGAGGAGAAGGTGCGCAAGGAGACCTGCATTGGGCACTTCCATGCCACCAAAAAGCAGCTCCGCTTGCTCTGGACCCTGCCCAAATGCTGTGAAATCATCCAGGCGAGCGTCAATAGCAGCGTCACCCTTTTGTCCTTTGTGGAGAAGACCGAGGGTAATCTTTACCAGGCCTTTGTTGTGGAGGTGCGCAGTTCGGAGGGCGGCACTGTTACGCCCATAAATGCGGAGCCTACGCCTCGGCAAATTATGACGCAGTTTCTGTGGCGCGTGGAGAGTGCCACGCGCACCTGCTGGCAGGACAAGTTGCTAGTGCTCACCCACGAAGAGTGTAGGTATCCAGCAGATTCTTTTTCCTACGAATTTTATGGAATGAATATCGCTTTACAGCCATCAGGCAGTACAGCTGTGTGGTAAAGCAGAGTTCGACCACATCTTCGACTGGTGCCGGCGAGGGCAGTGCCTGGCGCCTAGACACCAGCATCCTGACATTCGAAACTCTGGCCAGGAACTTCAGCTGGGCTCAGTGGGATCCCGAGTGTCAGGCCCTCTACTACATACATCTGAAGCCAAAGGCCAAAAGCCTCAGCCTGCTGGATGAAAGGGAGGAGGCGGGTGGCGAGCAGGCGGCTCCGATTCTAAGTCCCACACTGTCGGCCTTTCAGTTCAACGAAAAGCAGCCCACGGAGACGGTGGTAGGTTTCCCTGATTTGTATTTAAGCTTTGAGGTTATCCTTTTCCTCCTTTTCAGCTAAATATACCTCTCAATCTGCCCAAGCTTCCCGCTGGTGGCTCGAGGGAGGAGGAAACCCCTAGCTACGACGATGATGCGGTACCGTTGCGTGTTCACGACAGCTCCCTGAATCTTATCATTCTGGCTGACAGTTCTTCGGGCATGTTCTTCGTCTGCCACTACTACCTTTACCAGCCGATGCAGTCGGAGCAGAAGGACGTGCATTTCGCCTACTCGGTGACCCTGCTGCATCACGGCTGCGTGGTGCACTGCGTTATGCCCGGGGTGCCGTGGCAGAAGGCTCGGCTGTTGAAGCCCACTTTTGCTCTGCACGGACAGCATCACTTGCTGGTGTCGTCGGCCTTTTTTGTCCATTTGCTGGACGTGGGACTGCAGCACGAACCGAATTGTCACATCGTGTGTGCCGCCCACAGCAACCGGAGTCCCGATATCACCCAGCTGGTTCCTTTGCGGAAGTGGGGAGCCCTGGCCTACGATGTGGCCACCTTGGATTTGGTCTCTTTAACTGTGCCCAAGTCGCATTTGATCGAGGCGTTTCGCAATGACAGCTCACTGGACAACAGAATCAGCATAATCCACTACTTTCTGCTGCACTCGAACGACATGGACGTGCTGGCCGAGCTGCTGAATAGTATACTGGAACGTCCGCTTTCCCTGGACACGGTGGCCCTGCTAAAGGAGGCCCTTGTGGCTGGCAGCTATGCGGCTGCAGTTCGCGGTCTGCCGGAGGAGGCCAAGCCGCTGATGAGGCTATTGCCACTGACCACAGCCATCGCCTCGCGACCCATTCAGGCCCGGGTGGCTGACATAAGTGTGGGCCTCTCGCATGAAACCCTGCACAACACCAGCATGATGCTTCTCTCGCCGCAGCAGCGACTGTCACCCTACCGCACGGATATCTGGACACGGCTGTGGGATCTGCTCAACGAGTCTGCAAAGCAGGAACAGCCGCGTTTTAGTGGAGAGCAGGTGACTGAGAAGCTCATGTTTAGCCTGGCCTGCTATCAACCGGAGGCTCTGTCCCGGTGCACCACGCCCCTTTCCCCAGACGCCGGCACTGGCGGTGGCTTTGGAGACTACAGCAGCGGCAGTGCGTTTCCCTTTAGCAACGAAGTTCTACCCTTCATTGAGCTGGAGGGCTGCACGGCCAGCAAGCAGGAGCACGTCATTTCGGTGGTAACTTAACCGAGATTATTCTCATTATCTATTTCCATTTAAATTGTAAAATATTTATAGTATTTGCGGGAGCTGAGCGTGCATTTGGTGAAGCATTCCTCCAAACCGCACACAGGCTTCCGTTGGCTGAAGGAGACCTTCTTTGAGCGCTCCCAGGCTCCGGCTCACGTGCATGCGGTGGCTTCCCAGTTCGTTTCCTCGCAGCTGGAGCTGTCCCGTGCTCTATGCTCTCTCGTGTGCCGGGCGGCGGGCCTGGATGCTCGCATGGAAACGCTGCGTGGCTTCCAGTTGATGTGAGTTTGACTTGGTTCTGGGTTTGACTTTATTTTATTTTTGGAAATATTTGCAGAGACAAAATGCCTGCTAGCCAACAGCACTCGCTGTTTCTTATCCTGGAGAGATACTGCCTGGCAGTGGAATCGATAGCCTTTCCCCTGCCCGAGGGCTTCTCCTCGTTCTTCACTTACCTGGGCTATCGGGCCCTGGGCTACAACATGTTCCTTCAGTATGTGGAGAACCATGTGTTCGAGCTGCAGGTGGACGTCATGAAGGCCATTGTTTTTGGTGGGTTTCTTAGTTTGTTTTCCAAGTTGATTTTATAATTGTTTTCTTACATGTTTTGTGAAGATATCGAGGACTCTCCTTTGGGCATCGAACGTAAGCTTTCCCTGCTGTCGGCTCTGCCCAAGCAGCGGGCCCAGCGTCTGCTAAAATGTTGGCAGCATCCGGATAGCCTCATGATCCGTGGCAGGGAGCATGCAGCCAACATTCTGTCCGGTCAGCAGCTTCTGGAAGCCAACCAGCAGCAGCGGCCATCGGCTTGTGCAAACCAATCCCGAAACAATGCCAGGAGCGGTGAGATTTCCACTTGAATTCTTGTTCATTTCATTTGCATATATTTTTTCACCCACATCATTTCGTTCAGCTTTGGGCAAACCCAACACTGTGGTCTGCCATTCGCTGCTTTTGGTTTTTCTCTTTATTATTTTAACCACGGCCTTCCTGAGCATGGCGAGCTATGTGTTGCTTGGTAGATCGAATCATCGCCGACTGGTAAGCAACGCTGATCAGTGTTTGCCAGTGTCCTAGTCCCGTTTGCACGAATCATTATTCGTTATTTCGCTAAGCACAATTCTTACAGTTTTCTTACAATTCTCTTTGACAGACTTAACTGCCGAAGCCCTGACGCCGTTGGACTCCTTTCTGGACCTGCTGACGGCCAAGGCCAGTCTAAACGAATTGGACTATAATTTGCTTATTGAGACCACCTTGAGCTCCATTGATCTCCTCAAGGTGGAGGGCTAACGTGCTTATAGCAGTCATGACAGTAATTGAAAGGGTATTAACTAAAGGCCAAAGTATAGTGTCAAAATATCAAGTATTGGACCCCACATGCAGTTACGCTTGTGTTACTATTCTAAGTCTTGTTTTCCGTGCAGCTTAAATCAATAATTTTATGTTTAACGTTCGTTCCTATTATTATTTATATGTCAATGAATTTATGCATTCCATGTCTTATAGTTTATATCACGAATTTATGTATCTGTGTCGTACATATTTGTTTATTATTTATTTATTTATTTGTCAAAAACACTGGCAGCTTGTATTTACCATAAACGAGTTATTAAAATAATAAAAAGAAAAACATGAAGTTTGCATTTAATAAAATATTTAATTTATATATACAAAATTGAAATGTTTACCCACTCGCGAGCTTCTTCCTGATCATCGCAAAGCCTTAGCTCGACAAGGCACTTCACCGGAACTAGTCCGTTTGGGAAATGTCATTCTGTCGACAGAGCTCTTAGGGCAAACATATAAATTATTAAATTTCGTAAGTAAAAAAGTCAGAGTAGGTAATCACACATGAGTTCGAGCCAGAGATTCGTGAGGCAACACAGTTCTGTATGCCTGAAGGAAGATGACGCAATCAGCTCTCAGTATTCCCGGGCAGACGAGACTTTGCCCACGCCCAGGGAGGCAATGAGGCGGGGTAACTGCCAGGACTATCGCTTCCATCGGGCGGAGACCTACCCCTCGATCCGTCCGCATGTGCCACCCTGCGATCCCAGCAAGACCAAGGCCTTCGCCTGGTTGGCCGACTCCATCGAGGCGGACGGTTGTGGGCGACCTTTTGAAGTGAAACAGGACGACGTAGTGCTCCAGTGGCAGCAAATTTCGGGTAAGAATACGTTGGGTTTCTATGGCGTCGGCTCGCCTACTAGTCACCCGGAGTCGGTGAGGTTTAACCAGGTGCTGATGGCTAGCCTGGACAAGGCAAGCGTTGACGCCACCAAGCGTCGTTCTACCAAGCCGCCTCCGAAAAGAAATACCCATGTGAAGAACTCTGTTTCCGGCCAGATGGGCCAGCACTTCATCCTCAATCGTCGGGCTCTGCAGAGGGAGATGCGGCAGATGCCCATGGTTCAGCGGAGGCTGAATCCTCTTAAGGTCTTGGAGTCGATCTTCTGCCCCGATCCCCACGATCCCTTTGATGTAGCAGAGCACGAAAATGTGAGGGTCTCCATATCCCAAGCCCTTGACATGGAACGATCTCCCAAAAAGAGGCCTCACGGACTACGACGCCGTCACTGGTACTGCCCCCCGGATTGCGATGGAGAGCAGAATGCTTGCTCCCAGTACGAGTGGGCCAAGTACAAGCTTGATCCCCGGCCCTATAACGCAGAGTTTCGGCAATGGCTGTGCAACCAGAGAGAGATAAGGAGTCGCGAACCCAAGGACTACGATCAGTTGTACGAAAGATTTCTTAATTGCTTCGAGCAGGATCCCTTGCCTGATCCGCTCTTGAAGATGTATGAGAGCTGCTGCCTGACAAAGAAGTCAGGTGACGACGATGGGCAAGGCGGTGGCGATTGGCATGGTGGTGATTGTGGCGGCACTGGGGGGGGAACCCGAGGAACTGAATACAAGGACGAAAATAAGTATGGAAACAAGGACAAAATCAAGTACATGGATAAGGGCAAGGATATGGACATGGATATGGACAAGGATAAGGACAAGAATATGGATATGGATCTGGACAAGGATAAGGAAAAGAACAAGAACAAGAAGGACAAGAACAAGGACAAGAACAAGCACAAGGATATGGACAGGGATATGGACAACAACAAGGACAAGGATATGGACAAGGATAAGAAGGATATGGACAAGGAAAAGAACAAGGATAAGAACAAGGATAAAAACAAGGATAAGAACAAGGATATGGATATGGATAAAGAAAAGAACAAGGATAAGAATTCGGCCAAGGACAAGGACAAGGACAAGGAGAAGAACAAGAACGAGGACAAGGACAAGGTGACCGAAGATGGCAAAACTAAAAGCTCGGATGATAGAGATGGAAATGAAGACTGGAAGATAAAACGTGAGAGCCGGAATAAAGACAAAAAGCAGAAAGAAAAGAAAAAGCAGACTGATGACCTGAACAAATTCGAACGGGACAGCGAAGTACCTAGCACCGGGTTATCTGACCGGGATAATGAGAGAGTGAGCAAAGTCGAACAACATTCAAAAATAGAGCAGGATTCGCGAAGGCCCACTGGTCAAAGGAAAACAAATGCCGACTTGGATGGTTCTAATGAGGTTCCCCACGTGATAAGGATTCCCAAAGATTCCATTAGTAGGATCAAGGACAAGGTTAAGAATGTAAAAAAACGACCAAACACGAAAAAGGACAAGACCAAGAAAAATGACAAGATTAAAAATCCGAAAAAGTGCCAGGACCCTAGATGCCCGCCCCAAGGATGCCCGTGCGAGATCTGTGACCTAATAGACCGCGGTCGCGGCGAGCCGGAAGCCCCCTTCATCCAGGACATGAAGCGGGCGGACCAAAAGCGAAAGCTTCGGGACTACTATCGTCAGATGTGCCACCGGGAGTACATCAGCAAATGCTGTCGAGAGAACCTTCCCGCTCCTCTGCACAAATGCGACCCCATCAGCTACGACAATAGCTTCTGCCAAAGTCCACGTCTCGCCCAGCACTGCGAGTGTCTGGAGGCGGTGCAGGATCTGCAAAAGATTCTTACGGACCGCCAGGACATACAACTCCTACGCCGCGTTGAGGAATTGCGCCGGCGCATTAGCCAGCGGATGTGCGAGTGCATCTTAAACTGAATCGGTCGGGAGCTCACATCTGTGCCCCTTATAAGGTTGTTTTTTTGGTTTAGTTATTTCAAAGCTTTAAGAATATCTATGTAAAAAACCTAAATTATTAATTATTTAGTGTGCTTGATTTCCTTAACATTTTGTTTCAATAAAGCTAATGTTGCAGAGTTATGCGGAGCTTTTCAACGGAGTTCTTTGTGTAGTTTTTTTATTGTGTTAAACTAGTGAAATGATATACAAGAATAAAATTATTCATTTAGTTGGAAATCTATCAATATTTATAAATAAAATTGGTTTCATTTAGATATCACCATATTTAATGGATAAAAACTGTACTAAAGTCACAAGTATATTTTTATGCGTTTATAATTTTTAAAATTTATTAATTTCCAGAGAAGACTAGCTTATTTACTAACTTAACTAATTTAAGTTTACAAAACCTTAAGTATGCTTGTTTTATTTTAACAAAATTATTAATTTAAGTAAATTCTAATAAAATTTCCCCTGCGAACCTGTGTTCGTTGAAGAGAGAAAGTCAAAGCGCCTTCAAACCGCAACGGTTTGGGGATTTCCCCTCCAAGGCCAGATGAACTGTTATACGCGCAGCAGTGTTGTTAATTTAGCTATTTTCCCACTAGATCTGGCGGGTTTCGAAACCTAAAAAGCGGGATATTTTGTGAAATAATATAAATAGAAACTAAAAATATAACAAATTTTAAGGATTTAAAGAAAAAATTGATTTTTTAAATTAAATTAAATAGTATTTCATTGCCGATTTTCCCGAAATAAAGAGGAATAGCTAAAGCATTTGAAAAATAGATATTTAAATTTAGAGTGCGTCTAGAAAAATTTACTAATCGTTTTGAATTTTGTAAAAAAACTTAAAATAATTTGGCATTAAATTGGGAACCGTTTTTTGAAGTTTTCGATTAAACTCGAGCTATTTTTTTTTATCGATGGTTTTCATATAGCATATACAATGAAACCATCGTCCGAAAAAACATCGAAAAATCGATAGTGGAAAAACGATTTTTGCCAGCACTAACGGGATGTTTTGCCGCGCTCAGTCAATTTGAACAGTCGTTGGGAAACAGTCGTTGGGAAATCGTCACGGTGTGCGCATCAACGTGAATCCGCAGCGGAAAAGTGCGAGGAAACGGGAGAGACTCTGATTCGGCTCGACTCGTATTGGGAACTCCGTGCGCCCGAGTTACCCAGAACGGCCAGAATAAGGCACAGTGCCAAATGCTCTGACAAATAATTGTTGTAATAATCTGCGGGATTCGGAAATGCAAGCCGCATAAAATTTTAAATTAAAATCGCAAAGTGAACAGCCAAAAGTTTAAGTTTTTGCCAGTGCCAAGGAGAAACTCTTAAAGGCTTCAAATAAATAAACAAAATAAACTCCAAGACCCTAGAGCTACCTAAAAGGACATCCCGATCCGAAGATGGGCCCCAACTGCCTGACAATTGGATTACTTCTGGCCCTGGTCGCCAGTGGCCAGGCCCACCTAAACATCTTCCTGAACTTGCACGAGGTGTTGCGTTTAATCGGTGAGTTTTCACGCAATTATTCCAGGCTTATTTTCGGGGAAATCCCTTCTCCCTTTTCGCCAGTCGTCGTCAGATTGTTTGTCAATTAACTCACCAATTTCTGGCAGAGCTTAAAACCAAATTTGATTTACACAAAGCCAAGTTTTGTGGAAAAATATACATACATCTTTTGTGGGTTTCTTTTATGTTTTCCACCATGGCTTTGGGGCGAGTGAAGACAGATTTTCCTGATTTATTTACTGCTTTGTAAATAATACATGCTGCTAATTGCTTTCTGGCCCAGAACAACAAGGTTCAATTTGAGAAGCTGATACTGCTTTCTGACAAGCAGCTCGGTCAGAGATTATATTGCTATTTTTATTTGCTCACACAATATTGGTTTTATTTAAATTTTTGCTCAAGCCATAGGCCACGATTACTCAAAATAATCTTTTAAGACGCAAATATTTTCTAACGAGGTCAATAAGACAAAAAATAAAAGTCAAGAGAGCACAACAAATATTTTCTTTGAATTTTAAAAATATATATTCTCTTGTATCAAGTGAAGTTTGTGTTCGTTTCGGAACTCGTGTGCGCCTTTATCTCCATATAAAAGCCGAATTTCCACTCAAATAACCAAATTGGCTTAGATATACATGCTTTTCCAGCATAAACCAATGAAGATTTTATCCTATTTTCACCAATTTATTCCTTTACCAAAAAATTCTTATGTATCTCAAGTCAAGCCCAAGTCAAGATATTTTTTCTACCAAGAAAACACCCACAAATCCCGCAGAAAAGATTGCCAGGCTAATAAAAGTGAGGAAAATTGTTTTACAATGTGTCACAGGGCCCGAACAAAGAATTTACAACCCAGTGCATATAAAAAATAAATCAGTAGCCGAAGGGATAGCCCGGAATGGGGTGAGGCGACCCACCGACCGGCCAAGTGGGGACAAATCCATGTGGAGTCGTAAAACACATGCAAAGTGTTTGTTTGCTCTGGGTGAACGGGTTGTATATGGGAGATATGGAAAAATTATCAAAAATTATGTTGTTAAATTTACAACACTCGCGTGTGTGCGAGTGTGTGCAAACAGGCCTGGGTGATTGATGGGCAGCAGGAGGCGGAGCAGGTCCGCAGATTGCATCGCGTCACTTGTGAATAACTGGGTAAATATTTGTACGAAGGTGCTGCAACTGCAGCAGGGGCTAATCAGGCGCTTATCTGGCCGCTTATCATCCGTTGCCACTCGTCGTAATTCATGTTTGATTTGGCTTCAGGACGCGGACCTGGCTTCTTGGCCCGCTTATCATCCGTCGAGCGCCAGCAGACAATCAATCAAAGGTGCTATGGCCAGTGGGAGGATGGGCGATGGCCAGTTGAGGCTTTCCACTTGACATGGCCCCGGGAAATTTATTAGTTGTGGCAGCCGCGTGTCAAACGAAATCAGAATTAAAACCCATTAAGCGGTGCCTGCCAGCTCCTCCAATTGCGGTTGCCTGAGCTCTCGGGGCTTCGGGATTGGGGTTTCGAGTTGGGGGTGTCGGGTTTTTGGGGTTTCCGACTGGAATTGGGATTGGGTGGGTGGGTTTGCCGACGATACCCACTCTCCAATTATTTAGCGCTGACAGCGGGTTGCATGCCTGACCTACTTTCGGTCCTTCACTATGTGTTCGCAACGTCGGGTAGGTGTCACTTTTTTTTATACATATATTTTTTTAGCGGTCGCTTCAAAAGCCTTTGTGTGAGTGCACATCAATTAAATTGTCAACCCAACCCGGCAGCAGGAGATCCAGCCCGAAGAAGAGTTTTATGCACTTGCAGCTGCGGCATGGCATTCACTGTTCGTTAGGTTATACCAGACCCCCCCCCCCAATCCCCTCTCCTTGGTGCGTCCCAAATTGCTGAGCTCTATGTAAACCATGTCAGGTGCGGATCAAGAGGGGGCGGAGGTCTCGGTTTTGGTCCTGTGGCCCCAGCTCGTTAGTGAAATGAGCGGATATGTAAAGTCGGTACAGTTGATGGATTTTGCGGTTGCAATGAGTGACCGAAGGGGTCACTCCGGTTGAAAGACAGTTGAAACAATTTTGCAGGTGTGTAGGAAAATAATTTGGGGACACCATTAGATAATTAAAAGAGTCTTAATTTAGCAAAGAAGCGAGTTATGGGATCATCAGTAAAGTTAAAACGAGCCTGGTTTATTTCTTAGGTAAAATCCGGGATAAAACTATATTTTTATGATTTTTTTTTCTAGACTTTTAAGATTTAACTTACCTATCCTTAAACCTACACAACCTATTAAAACCATATTGTAAGCCACCCAAAAAAGTCGTTCACAGTACTCCTGCCACCATTTTACAGCCCCCAAAAAGTTTCCTTCACACCTTGCTCAATAATCCTGGCGTAACTTTTCCCAACTTTGTGTATCCCTGGCAGCTGTCTGAACAGATCCCCAGGTCCAGGTCCACGTCTAACCCATCGACATTCGCCAGTCACGTTTCGGGTCTGTCTATCAACACTTGCTAATCTCAACCCCATCTCTCTAAATGGTTTGACACTTTCAACTGGCGCGGCCAAAAGATTCATCATTGTACAACTGAACATGATTTTCCGGCGCACAATGGAAATTGTTGCCAACTCACGTTTGCCTAATAAAAGCATGCGAACATTTGGCCGAAATACAAAACATATTTTCGGCAAGTAATGTGAACTCAATTAGGGGGGCCCAGCAGCATCAGTAGAAGCATCACCACGGGGCTCAGAACTTAAGCTAAATCTCTTGTGTGCGTGGCCAAAAATATTTCACCCTCGGCATAATTAATGTTGCAGTTGGAATCGAAGCCATTAGATGTGCTCGAGCGTGCGGCATGTGTTGCCAACTTGCCACGACAACATAAACAAGGATCTACTCTCGGCCCCCGAATCTGGGCTCTTTGTTCCCTGCCACCTGTCTGCACAGAGAGAAACTTAACAAATAGTTTGTATTCAGTTAGGAATAGGGAAATATAGAATGTATTTTATATACAATTTACAATTCAAATACATAAAATTGAAATTTGAAAGATATAAGTTATTGTTATTAGAAGCCTTAAACTTTGTTGAAACTAAAGGCCAATAGAGCATATTTGTTTATAAACTTTAAGTAAGTAATTTAAAAGATTTGATCTGTTTTGAAGGAGTCACTTTAATGTAACTTAGTTAGGTGGCGACCATGATCGACTCTGATTAAACCTTAATTTTTCTTTTGATTATGTTTAAATAGTAAACAATTTGTAATCAATATTATATTCAATATTTAAATTATCAAAAAAATATATCTTTAAATAGAAAAATATAAAAAAAATATTATTTATTATTATGTAGCACAATTTGACTTCAATTTAAATTTGGTCTTACATTTAATTTCTAAAGTTTATTAGGAAAATGGGTTACTATATTCTCGTTAAGTGTACGAATTCATTCTGCTGCCAAGTTGTCGCGTCTGGCTACATAATTGGCAAATGAACAGCAGACATAGGAGGGCAGCAAAGCCCATGCTGTTGCACCGATGATGATGTAGCCCAAAGTGGCAACGGCAGCATTGCGAGTGTCACATGCAACGTTTCGCTGGCTGGCCAAATCTCAGTTGCCACTCATAATCCAGTTCGCCTCACTGGCTTAACGATGGGAACGGCACCCACATCTTCAGCCCTGCATTTCAATCTCCATCCCCTCTGGCAAACTGCAATTGCAAGTCATCGGCCCTTCAGTGGCTTTCACTGCCACCACCCTCCTCCGAGTGTTGCGTAAATATTTTCAAACAACAAAACCAAAAAATCGGTTATGGTTAGGTGACCACGCCCCCGCTATTGACGCCTGCACTTGCGCTTAATTAAATAACTAAATGATTTGCGGATACGGATGTTGTTGTTCATGCGTCACGGGGTGTGACAATAATAACCACGTAAACATAAACAACACAAGCTTTCACACCTTAACTGGCACACGCACGCCAAGGAAACCTCAGAAGCAATAGAAGTTCAGCAATTCGAAAGTTGTAATGAGATTTGTAATACAAGAAAATAAGGTGTTCATAATACATACATAACATCACTTCCCCTATAAAAGCTACTATATGTACTGTATTCTCCTGCTTGTCCATTTGAATACACTCGTATGTTATGTCCAAAAATAGTTTCAATTTAATCGGATAAAGTGGTAATAAAAGGAAAACACTCTTTCAGCTGCACTTCCATTTTTTGCCATTTATTGGCAATGCAAACTTCATAGTCACCAGTTGCCAAAAAAAGAAAAGTGTATGCTATATTTGATTTATTTTGGCAATTTCTACCAACATGGCAAAAACTTCTACAGTCGGTTATTATTAAAAAAGTTTTTCATGGAGCTTATACAGAAGTTGGTCAGGCCAAGACGAGAATCCTGTTTATTAGTATACATTTTTCATGTTTATTTTAGTTTAGTGTTTATCTAGTAGATTTTGATCAGTTTGTTTGATTAATGGCTTTTAGCTTAGCTTAAAAGCCAATTATTAAAAATAAACATAAAACCATAACTTTAACATATCCGAGTGACCAAGGCAATCTTTGAAATTTATAACCATTATCTGAACCCAAAAAGGTCAACAAAAAAACGGAAGCGATTTAAACTATCTGTAATTGCTTTGGGCCAGCCCATTTGCTCGGCTTTCAATTAAACTAAATTTATTTAAATTAAAATCATATTTCACATTCCAATTTAGCAATAAACGCACACACGCACACTTCGCAGAGAATTCCCCAAAGTGCTCCGCATATCAATTCTTGGGAGGAGTTATTTTCACCCCCTCGGAGGAAACCGGACTCGTATCTAAAGTGCTTCAATGCTCGGTCTGTCAGTCAGTCCGGACTTGTTATCAAATTAATTTAATCAGTTTCAATTGTTTATGTTTTTTGTCTTCTTGGAGAGGTTCTTTTTCGGTTGCTTTTTTGGATTTTTGCATGATTGGTGGTGGCCAGACACGAAATGGGTGAGGTCTCTC